ACTGTCTTCTCTCATATCTATTTCATTAGGTAAAAACTTGAACGGAAGTGTACTATCATTCACAACTCATTCCAGCTCATGTCTATTGGAGCAAAAAGATCATACGTTCAGCTTAGCATCGACTGCTTTGAATTCCAATGAATCTATGATTGAACAGGCTGTTTTGACGGTCAATTTACCGTATTATGGTTCGATACTGTATGTTTGTCTTCAATCGGCGAACACACCGGTTCCGTCACATCAAGGCGACCGGTAAGTTGGGGCTCTTCAAGTTCATTTCCGATTCAATTTCATTGATGATTTTAGACCGACGTTAAGATTGATCGTTACTCGGCCGACTTTACCTGTTTGGACAACTATTCTCTTGCTATTGGTTCTCCTCTTCTTATCAAGTCTTTTCTCCGGTCTAAATCTGGGCTTGATGTCATTAACACCACATGATCTCATCGTGATTCAAGAAGCTGGATCACCTAAAGACAGAGAATATGCGAAACGGATTTATCCAGTACGTAAACGTGGTAATTTTCTACTATGCACCATCCTTTTGGGCAATGTCCTGGTCAATTCAACATCAACCATTCTTCTCGACACATTAATACACGGTGTTCTGGCTGTAGCAGGATCGACTTTAGCCATCGTCATCTTCGGTGAAATCATTCCGCAAGCCATATGTTCGCGGCATGGTCTGAAAGTTGGTGCGAAGACCATCATACTCACTCGTATTTTTATGATTCTTACATTTCCCATTGCTTTTCCACTCAGTAAACTCCTCGATCTTATTCTCGGTAAGAATGAACGTTCCATGAAACAGTTTTTCAACCAATCTATTCATAGGCGAAGAAGTTGCTTCGACATATACACGTAATCAGATGAGCGTATTATTGAAACACACAGCCATGCCTGATATTGAAGAACGAGAGAAAAATATCATGACTGGTGTGCTGAGTTTGAAATCGAAGAAAATTCGTGATATTATGACTCATTTAATTGATGTGTTTATGCTGGAAGCCGATCAAATTGTTGACGATGCACTTATTTTAAGTGTGCATGGTTATGGATATTCACGGGTACCAGTTTATGAGAAACAACGGTATAATGAAACTAACACTACTCATGTTATTTTAGACTTTGTCTTTATTCTTTCAGTGAGAATATTATCGGCTTGGTGAATTTCCGTGACTTCGCACTATTGGACACTGAATCAGGAAAGTTTACTGTAAGAAATGTGATGACTTTTTATAACCGTCGCTATGCGAAAATAGTCATGGCTGACGATTCGTGCTACGATGTATTCAATAACCTTAAAAAGGGTAAAAATCGGAGATCGTAATCACCATCTGACTACATTGAACTTCTTTTAGAACACCATCATATGGGTGTGGTAGTTGAACCTGATCCTACTAGTGAAAAAGATCCCAAACCTCGAGCAATTGGTATTGTTACATTGGAGGATATTATCGAAGAAATGATTCAAGAAGAAATCGTGGATGAAACAGATGTATTCAGTAAGTGACAGAAACTGATTGAAGATTATTCATAAACAAGAAAACTTTCAAATGATTGTAGCTGACAATCGTCGTAAAGTACGAAATGTTTTATCACAAGCACCTAACTTTTCAGCATTCATTCGTCAAACGGATGCAGCAGATGATACAACAAATATCTCCGCTCAAATGAAAGTCGCTATTCTTCAATTTCTTTCCACAGGTAATTCTATTCTCATTCAAGGAAGTGTTTATCATATTTTGCTTCTATATTGCAGCGGTTGATCCATTTACATCCCGATTCATCTCGCCAGACATTCTCGCTCATTTGTTGAACATGAACTTCTATCAGCAATTTGACTACGATGAAGACAAGGCGCAAAAGGATAGTCCTACTTACATATATGAATATGGAAAATCAGTGGATTATTTCGTACTGATTCTCAACGGACAAGCAGAACTTATAACTGGTAAAGAGAAAATTGTTAGTATTGTTGGTCCATTTTCTTACTTTGGTGTTAGTGCATTACTTCCTGTAAGTTTGATTTTCTAGCCTGGTGACATTTTCAATGACGAGATTTCCTTTCGATAGAACGCCAATAATGAAGTCGAAGATGTTCTGCATGCTAAAGATCATCAAGTTCGACCACTGATACCTGATTTCAGTTTACGTGTTTGTGAAAATCTACAGATTTTACGCATCCGTCGAAAACATTGGTTAGCAGCCGTTCGCGCTAATTTCTTAGAGAACAAGCAAAAATCTACTACTACCCCTTCATCGATGCCCAATTCAAACAACAAACAAAATGATTTTCTAACACAAGAACTAGAGAAAGCCAATTGTGTCTACAAGTTGCAAGCCAGCGTTAAACCAATTAATGAATCGACCGAGAAAGCACGCGATCGAGCAGTGTCTTTCACAGCAACAAAGGATTCGTTACAAGTCGAAGCAAATCATAAGAATAATGCTAGTCGATATCGTTCGTCGTCCGGTTTACAGTCTACAAACAAAACTTCGGCTGAGAACCCATCGACATCGAATGGTCACGTGCCAAATGCAACCGACGATCAATCAGATCTAACTAGCTTATAAAGACTCAATTGATGTTTTATTTCATTCGATAACGAAAAAAAAATCTTTCAAAAGGGATCGCACAGATTATTTGTTAAAAGTTTTTATTTTTTGAATATTAAGAAAATCTAACAGATGATATGAACGGTTTGTTTATGCTTGCTCTTATCTGTATGTGATTTTACTTTATCGTCATGCTGTTTCGATCGTCGATGTTGATGATGCTTATTCTTGTCTGACATTTGCAATAAATCAGCCAGTTCTCGATGTCCATATTCGTTGGCTAAACGAATTAATACAAGTCGAATATCTTCGAGAAGAATCGAAGCGATGTTGCGCGTAAAAGTTTCTCGTACAACAATACGGCAGACGGTTATATGATTCGCATTTGCTGCAAGTGTATATGCCGGTATAATCCAACCACATTCCTTTAAACGTTGAACAAGAACTGTTTCATTGAATTGAAGTTTTTTCCCGGGATTCAAGGAGAATGCCACCATAGGTAATGATGGTCTGTCATTTTGACTACGGATAAGGAACAAATCATCACCTATGGATGCTAAAGAATCAGCCAAGTACGTCGCATTGTTAATTGATATTTGCATGATTCGTTGGTAACCGTCCATACCTAATCGGAGAAATTGATAATATTGAGCGATAACATTCGCAGCAGAACGTGAAAAATTCAGATTAAATGTCGGCTCATCAATACCAAGATAATTCACATGAAAGATTAAATCTTCCGGTAGATCTTCTTTACCACGCCAAATGACCCAACCTAAACCAGGTAACACCAAGCCATATTTGTGTCCACTTGTATTAATCGATCGAACTTGTTCTAGTCGAAAATCCCATTCGATTTCAGGAAAAACAAATGGAGCAATCATAGCTCCAGAAGCGCCATCAACATGAATTGGAATATCCAATCTTTTGTCGTGTTTTAGTTTCAATAGAGCACCATTCAATCGTTTGATATCTTCAAATTCGCCTGTTAATGTCGTACCGAGGATAGCGAGTACACCGCATGTATTTTCATCACACTGTGCAATAACTTGATCGATATTGAGGGTGTAGGAATCTTCTTCTAATGGGATCATTCGGACATCGATATCAAAGTATCGACATAATTTCAAAACAGAAACGTGAACAGCAGCGCTGAATATCAAGTTACATCGAGTGGTGATTTCTTCGATCTTCTTTCCATGTTTAGCAGCTTGCTTAGCTCGCCAACGCCATTTAAGAGCTAGACCACCTAACATAATGGCTTCACTCGATCCAACAGTTGCAGTGCCAACAGCACTACCTTCTTCAGTCGATGGAGCATGGAATAAATTAGCTAAAATATTGATACATCGATCTTGAATTTCATTACTATGAGCATATTGACTTGTATCAACTAGATTCTTGTTTAAATTCTTCATCATTAAATGTAGACATGCATCATCGACTTCGGTTGTGACAAATGAAGCTAAATTGAGATCAGGATTGCCGTCCAGTCTGAGTTCACTACGAATGATAGAAGATGCAGCTTGTTCTGTTAATGGTTGATCAGGCATTCGGAATTTCGGAACATCGTTGTTAACCTCGATAAAACGTGCTAAATGACCGAGCATTGGTTCGTCATCTTCTTTTGGAACATGATACGATAATGACATTGTACGATGATTGTTTTAGAAACAAGAAAAGATCAAGTCAAATGTATACACACACCGATTATCTGAAAATAAAGAAAAGAATACCGTGACTAATGTCATCATAATCAAACACCAATCAGATAGTTTCGATAGTTGCCTCTATGTACACAAGAAACAACAATAAACTAATAAAATCACCAGAAGTTGAGCATAATGAAGGCAAAGACATACACGAAATACACACACTACCCAATGACGGCTTTATTTCCCAAATGAATCGAACATAATCATTTGGTACGTTTTACTGAAGTATATAATCCATATGAATGCAAAAATATAGTCACGCCTTAAGAGTATGCGTAGTGTTTTCAAATATGCACCCGTTCTCCTCTCTGTTTGTTTGAGTGGATACTTTTTCTTGTTTATACTTGATACAACTTGAATGTATGACAACAAAGGTATGAGCAATTTCGATGACGAAAATATTACATGGTATAACGAGTAGACTCGAGCAATCAGTATAATTCATAGGTTTATCTTGAAATATCTCATAATGAATGGTAAAATATTAATTTATGATATTTGATTACATTTCATCAGCATGAATTCACCGAATAAGGTGAGGTTATAGTCAACAGTATATGCGATCGAGACATGTACGTATCTATTTATTTTTACACTCCTAGAATGTTTCTGTCTGGTAATTTGCATGAAATAGATTGATTCATGTCTTAAAAAACAAACTATTGAAAAAAGCAAAAAGATTAGTTCATTGCGATAATTGATAATGTGTGCAAGCCAAAACTAATGTCACTTATCAACAGTGGCATTAGTCATAGGTTGAATACTAGATTTTGTTTTATTCTTGCGCTCCGCGAGACAATGACGCGACAGTCGGTAGATAAGTTCACATAATTCAATTACGCTCAAAACACTCAATCCGATCCATCTAAAAAGTCAAACACAAAGTATGATTAATTTAGAACAAAGAAAACGAATATTTTTTTTTCACTTACAATCCCGTTTGTCCGCCGATTGCAGAAAAAGTATCAACAATTGACAGTTTCGCTTCTTGATTATATTCAACAGTATATTTATTGCTACAAGACACTTGCACCTTCAAATAATTTCGATTGAAATAGTAATCAAAATTTTGTGTAATATTATTGGGAAGTAGAACACTGATATTTGCTAATGGAGTTGATATTAGACTTTGCCAGTATTTTTTATCACCTTCCGATGGTGCGTTTTGTGCACTGACGACCGCTTGAAAATCAACGTGTTTACATTGAGGAACACATCGTGAACACCATTGAGATTGAAGATAATCATCAGACGACAATTGTTGCCTAGCACGAAGTGCACATGCGAGTTGACCAATCAAAATATTACATCCATTGGCTGAAATAAGAATATTTTCATTCGTAAATATCTTTCGAGTAAAAAATGGAATAGGAAAAATGCATGAACATTGAGAGTATATGTAAGATTGTTGACATAATTCTATACATAAAGATTCCGAATAAACGGCATCAACCGATGCTGCTGGATCAATAAACGTTGATGTATATAGACCACGTAGATCATCGCTAACAGATGTTGTACAATTTGAATAGGGATACGGTAGAAATGTTGTTTCACTTTTCTGATAAGTTATCAAATTTGATGTACCCGGTCGAAGGTAAATACCTGTTTCGGTAGGTACAGGGAATTCATCGTTATCATGTAAAGTTATCAGAAGACCGTTATCGTACCAAGTCGTAGGGTAAAATAATTCTTGTGGCATATAAAACGACAAAGTTAGACCTTCTCGCACAAAAATTCCGTCGCCATAATCACTTACAGTAAAAACTGTTCCTGATGCTTTCCAATTAAATGTATAACAAATACCCAAAGCGGGTGATATCGATGCTGTAAATGCATTCGAACAATCGATTCCATTGTAATCACAACTGAGTAGAATATCAGTCAGCCGGAAGCCGATTGAAATAAATTCATCAGTTTGATTTCGGTTGAACAAATCAACAATCAATGGAATGAGNCATAATCACTTACAGTAAAAACTGTTCCTGATGCTTTCCAATTAAATGTATAACAAATACCCAAAGCGGGTGATATCGATGCTGTAAATGCATTCGAACAATCGATTCCATTGTAATCACAACTGAGTAGAATATCAGTCAGCCGGAAGCCGATTGAAATAAATTCATCAGTTTGATTTCGGTTGAACAAATCAACAATCAATGGAATGAGAAGTGAGCTAAGAACAGTTTCGTTATATGTCGCATTCGATGATGTCAAACGATGATAAAAGGAAACTAAGGATTGATTTAAGTGATCGGACCGATAAGGATTGCCACTGCAAACAGTAACAGCAGGAAATGGCATATGACGATCGAGTCGTATCTCGACTTTAGTTTGTGTCGGATAGGAAAAATATTGTAAAAGATTCGATATAACAAAATAGAACATGATGCCACATGTTATGGTAAATGAACATACCCAAAATATCCGATTAAATTTCGAATAAGCACGACCTACACTTCGTAAGCCGTGTGTTGAAGTGGCAATTAAATAATCGAGAATAATTGATTGACGACGTTGTTCAACGAAGTGTTTAGGATTGTTGGAACCGACGATATCATCCATCGCTTGTATATTTAACAAAAAAATTTTATATATGAGATGGTGATCGCTACTTTCTTTTCTCTAATATGATGCTTTCTTGTAGAGAGAGTTGCAAACGACACTTTTTATTTCCTTCACAATTATGAAAAAAATTCAAGAATGTCAGTTTTTCATTTCTTTGAAATGTTAAAATAATGAAATCCGGTTGTCAGCATCATAGAGATTGATTTTTACTCATGTTTCACTAACAAAAAATACTTCAAGGTATTTATTAACATGATTGCCGTCGCTTAGTGTTATGCAGAAGTGTCAGAAACGATACCTCCAAGTTATCGTTCGAAATTTTTACTAACTTGTCATAGTGATATGATTTTCTACTATGAGTTTATCGGTTCGTGCACGATATTAATGAAGTGAAATATTTTAATATTCATATTCGAAATTTGAGGGTGAAGATATGGGTGAACGAACGCGGGGTACAAAGACTGTGGCTGGAAGTGATGAAGCATATGCACTTTCCGTACTTTTTCGAACTTTTTTCTTTACTTATAACAAAGAACGAGCGAAGAAAGCAAAACAACTCGAGACAAGTACTTGAAATGCTTGCAGATATCTCGAAACAAGTTGTTTGTTGCCAGACACCAGATAAGCAATCGTATGATAGCTTCTTTGTTCGATGTGTTGTCAGACAAAAAGTTACCTCTGCATGAGTCGAGCTTCTGTTGTCATTTACAATGTGATCTTTGAGTACGAGCGGATTGACTTAATGAGAATGTTTTGGCTTTCGCGACACATCACTCATCCTTTCACCCCTCACCCCGCTTTGCCTATAAAAAATGTTTAAATTATGTTCGTCGGTATTTGGTCGGATATGTTATGGTTCGATATCCATCATTCTCTGCCTTGTATGAACAGAACTGTTTAATGAGACGCCAATCTCTTCTGTACATAAAGCGTTTGTTCTCCGTAATCCAGTCTAATCTTCAATCAACATTCTTCACTGCATACATATCAGTTTTGCATTTGGACAAGTGTATTAAAGCACGCAGAATGTCTTAGAACGCGAGTCGAGTTTTACCGACATGAATTTGTTTGAGTATACATTCTAGTTCTGGTCTCGCGTTGGTTCAACAAAAACTGAATGAGCTCTTTTGATTTCAACTATAGTGTTTCTACTTTTCTCTTGATCGCCCACATCATTCTGGGAGTACTTAAATTCTATGCATGTTTCTAAAATTCCAATTCAGTATTTACAACTGTATAATTTTGTCGACAGAAGTGTTCATTTTCGAAAAAATCTATTGATGTATATAACAATTGTTGAAGGATTTAAAAACAGGTGAGAGCCTGATATGCAATAATAAACTTTTTTGCGTATTGAAATGTGGTTTTTACCCATATGTTTGAATTCTTATCGTTAATAAAACGTTCTTCGCTGAGAGTATACTGTTCCTCCGTTTCGATAAATGAGTATAACAACACACTTTATCATGGGGAAAACACGTATGCGATTGTAACAAAAATCGGTCAAAAGTTAACACAGATGAACGAAATAGTATCTTTGCGGCTCGCCACTCTATACGGAGAGAATTGAATTTAGCACAAGAGACTTGAGATAACCTCTTGAATGTTAACATCAATATATGATTTCAACATGGAATCTAGGTCGAGTTCGATAATTCTTAGCAACACGAATCATGGTGTCTCTATTTTACTCGACACCTTGTTTTGTGAAAATGAATAATTGGCGTTATCAAATAAACGCATGTCATTAGTTTTCACTATCTTGATGAAAGACGACTATTTTCGTCGTAGCTTATCATATTAAACATACTTCAGATGTCTTTCAGGGGGTAATCGAAGTAGATAGGCATGTATAGGCGTTTATCAGTAATAATTTGAAAAACAATAGAAGAAACCCATCTTTAAGGGGAAAATGCCTTATTCAAACAACATGTATAAGTAGTGCGCAAGTCGATCTTTTCACTACAGTATGAGAAAGCATCATTTCTTTACAATTGCTCCGCTATCGTTTTTTGTTTTTGTTTTTGTTTTTGTTTAATAACGCTAACAGTGGACGAACCATGTCACCAGATATCATTTATGATACCTAAATGCTCGTTATTAAGATATCTGGCGATCGATGATGAATCTATAGTAATCATTTGAACACCATGTTACAAAATAAAAATGTTTTCTAGATTGATTGAATTATTTTCCATAAATGGAATCAATGGAACTGGATGCAATGCTCGATGGTGAACAGTTAGCTAACAATTCTCGCTTACGAAAACGAAATGCGTAAGTATAAATTATGAGTATTCTTTTTATGCATACTATGAACAGAACATTTTCCCATTGAAATATATGTTTACAAGAGTCTATCTGTTTCTATTAGTGGTATATGGCAATCAAGATGGGTTCGCGCTGGTGTTGGTTGTCTCTTTCTTGCTCTTATTTCCTTGGCAGGTGCTATAACGGTATTGAAGTTAATACCAAATACAAATAAAGAAACTACTGCAATAGAAAAAAAAGACGGTTAGTAGGCACATAATTCTGATTCTAATATTTTGATGCTTTTTTTTTAGAGATACAAGAAATGGTCTTTAAGATTACCCTGTCGACAGACCACGTCCCAAATAACAACAATCAACCGTTCGACGTCAAGAATGCTGATGCTATTGCAAACGAAGTACGATGCGCCTATAAAAATAATTCTTTTTCCTATTTGTATTATTGTAGTTAACAAGCAAATTAAGTGGCAAAACACTTCGTGTGCTTGGTGGTCTGGTTCGCAACGAAGAAGATTCGAAAAAGTACTTTGAAAGCAACTGTAGGTCATAGAAAAGTTTTGATCTTTTTGGTTTAGAACAAGCTGTGACGACACTCTATCTAGCCATATTCTCGAACTGAGCTTAGTTCCTGCCTTTGCAGGCCAATGTACATCTGGAGACGAAACTGCATGCAAAATTCGTCTCGCAAAATAATTGCGCAATATGTTTCGTCGGTTGCAAACTTTTCCACTCGCTGTACAATTAGCTGACGATCAATCTATTGAAATAAACGTAAAACTATGTCAAGTTGAAGCTGTAGATGGTAAGATTAGAAGCATTAGTTTCGGAAACGAATCCTGTTTGTTTAGATTATCGTCGTGAACCTGTAGCAACAGCAGCACCCTCACCACAGAGACCAAGACGAAAACGAACAACAACAACAATACCCGTCGAAGAGCCCGTTGCATTACGAGCTGACGTACCGTTAGAATCGCCAGTAGCGGCAACCACAAAAATCCCAAGAGCAGCATTAGCATGGAGAAATGCTCCGGCGAGAACTCGATACAGTATGTATATCTAACGGATAGCAAATGTCACATAGACATTTAGCATATGAAGTAATGTTTCTAGAAATCTGAAATTTAATATCTCAATACTTTAGATCTAACATACAAACAAGATCCATATGCCTCATCAAGAAAAAGTACTTGCGCTCTATGTCTCAATAGAATAGGTCTCGTTCAAATGGATGGTGATCACGGTTCGGATATTCAAGATGATTTTCGAAGCTATTCAAATAACGGTCAATATCATCGCGCCTTCATCCTGACAGTAATTGAAGGTTCAACCCACAAACTACATCTCCAACTCAATTGCGGCGGACATTTGGGTGATCAATCAGCCGATAGTCCCTGCAGTAGTTCGCTAAGTGCACATGTCTGGATCGATTTTAACGATAATGAACATGATGATAGTGAAAGTCGTCTATTACATAGATCCTGGCCAACTGATGGTACACCGACTGGTACATATGATCTGAACATTTACATACCTGTCATCGATGACTTCAGCACAAGAGTTGGTCCACACAACATGATAATTACTGTTGCGCCAAGTTATGAATATCAAACAGAATGTGGTGCTATGGATTACAAAGAACAACGAAGCTATTCGGTAAACGTCGTACGAAAAGCTAGACACCCAGGTAAATCTTTCTTGGTGGTGTATGAAAATTTCACTTTATCTTTTCATTAAAGTGATCCCACAAACAACTCCGTACATCTATATAAATCCAATATGTTCAGTCGATTTTGGTAAAATAATTGTTGTGCTTATGGCTGGCGAAAAAGGCACAGAGATCCGAGACGATCTGCTCAAGAACAGTTTGTCAAACTACCAACGAAATCAACACCATCTAGGTGTTACTCTTTTCGAACACACAATCTACTTGTTACGCATTCAATTAGACTGTACCTCGCAGTTGAGAACTGAACTAACTGAAACTGGATGCAATTTAGCACAAGACGTCAACATCTTCCTAGACTTGAATGATGATGGTCGCTACGAGTCATCCGAAATCGGCACACCATATCGGTGGCCTGTAACTAGTTACCTGCCAGATGGCATATATGACATGCAACTGCATGTACCTTATCTGAACAGCCAATATGTAACATCTCGTCAACATCGTATGCGAATCGTTGTTACGCCAAGTGAATATTACAGAAGAATATGTGGCGATAGAGATTATGTCGAAGAAAGAATCTACGAAGTGAACATTATTTCTAAAAACGCTGTCATACGTATGTATACATTTTTATTTTATATCTTCTTATTGGGAGTTATAGAGAGATAAGAAGAGTAGCATGCTCCTACCTTTGTTGTTTTCTTCCCTATTAGTTACATTCTTATCCTTATCTAATGAAAAATTGTCTGAGAGCAACAAAAACTACGCGTCAGTATTTAATTCACACACATTTTAGCACCAAACATCTATGAAGCTACACATGTATCCTACGATAATATCACCTGTACACCAGAAGTCGGTAAAATAATTCTCGTCGTTATGGGCGGAGAGCATCGCACTCAGATTCGTGACGACCCATCAACGAACGCTCTATTGGAAACTAGCGATGAATATCAACAGCACTTATCCATCATGCTTCGTGAAGGTGTCACTTACTTACTTCGTCTGCAATTCGAATGCGGTGGACATCGATATCGAAATTCACCGGACTACATGTGCAAACTCCCGCACGAGGTCAGTGCATGGGTGGACTTAAACGACGATGGTCATTACGACGAACCTGAAAGTGCAACACCCTACAGATGGCCATTGACGAGCTACTTACCGCAAGGAATCTACGATCTTCAAATTGTTGTACCTATAATCGATGATCGAAAGATCAAGAGCGGACCTCATCGAATGAAATTAGTGGTAACCTTGAACGAACAATATCGAAGAAAATGTAACATCTATGATTACCAAGAAACCAAGTTTTATACCGTTACGATTGTTTCGCATACTGCAACTTCAAGTACTTATCTAGTCGTTTGTATTCCAGTGAAGAATTGAGTTTGTTCTTTTGCTTATAGGTGAGCTTGGTGGTCCATATTTGAGATTAAGTGATCGAGTGTGCAGTCAAAGTCATGGTCGCATTGTGCTTGTCATCATGGCAGGTTTGAAAGGCACCTAAATACGTGACGATACGCCAAACAACACTATCATCAGTGACTATCAAAATCGTCATCATATGGAAGTTACTCTTCTAGAGAACACCAATTATCGCATTCGTATACAACTCGATTGCGAACTGATTTCTAGTCGTGGTCCATTGAGAAGCGACTGTAACTTGGCTCAAGATGTCAATATTCTAATCGATCAGAATAATGACAATAAATTTGACGAATTCGAAACAGTTACACCACATAGATGACCACTACGCAGCTCCATTCCACTAGGTTTATATGACTACGAAATTCGTACGCCACCAGCTGCAAATGCGTACTATACAAAGAATGGTTCACATCGTATGCGCATTGTAGTCAAGCCAAGTGAGGAGTACGAAGCCAAATGCGTTCGCAGCAACTATGCAGAAATCCGCGAGTACACTATGAATATTCTGCAAAGGACAAATTAGGATTACGTCCACGCAGTCAACCAGCGATAAACTATTCAACAGACTTCACTTTTCAAAAGTTTTTTTTTCTAAATCCTCTCGTAATAAATGACTCTCCCATAATAGGAGACCATTTCCAAAATATGATTTCAAATTCATAATGTACGAATCAGGCCTTCCAATTATAAGTTTTCTAAAAGTTTATGATATACTGTTATAAAATCATTTGTATCGTTATATATACTGTATAACGAAATATGCAGAAGAAGTGAAAACAGACAGAATTCGATTAAGACAAATGGAAACAAAGAAATAGTTATAAACGTGCACTTCTAGACATTTTTAGGGTACATTTGATGTGACATCTATCCTATTTTTATCTGAATTGTGCTCCGGTTTATCTTTGATGCATCAATAGTTACTTCTCCAGCAATAAAAGTTTTTTGCTAATTAAAAAGATGATACACAAGAGTCATTACATCAACACATTGATCCAACTCGATAATAACAAAATCTCAAACAACTGCGAACTCAAATCGATTTGTCAAAAAAGCAGTCGTTGTAGTTATCTTTTGCTTTCTTTCTATTTTTATTACACATTTTTCTAATAACAATAATAATAAATAGCGATGCATGAAACGCCACAATGTGTGATCTTGTTTCGTATTAGAAGACTAGTCTATAATATAAGATCTCCCTTTAAAAGTATGTATTTCAAAACACAATAGTAGACCCGCGAGGTCGCTTATTATAGAGAATGTTTTCATAGATTAAACTTTGGGCGATACTTCTTCAACTAACAGAAATCAAACACGAATCCAGCAGATAATTAAATACTGAATTTTAAGATTCAACTTCGATTGTATCACTTTTGTTTGTTGTGAAAATTATTAAAAGCTTCAAATGAAGTTGAGTGTTCGATGACATTTAAAAGAAATAAAACAATTCTACATCAAATACATCATTTACGTAGTTTCTCCTTTCAATCTATGCATCTTGACTTCTGTTTGGGTTGCAAAACGTTGTGAGAATCAAATAAAAAAAGAACATCTCATTAACAAGTCAAGCGAAGAAAATGTTATTTTGAAAATGAAAATATCGAACTATCACATGCGGAATTTCACTAATGCTCTATTGGGAATTTTTCTCATGTGTTCATGGTTGCACTCTCACTTCACTTTCAAGACGAAAGATCATAAACATATAGAAGTGACTAACTAGATTGTAATAACTTATGTGATTGATATATCAAAAAGGATGACTGGCAGAATAAGTCAATAGTTTCGGACACAAACAACATTCAGTCATAAGTTATTATGTTAAATATTCATTATATCTACAAAGACTTAATCGCGGCTTACTTAGTATTCTTTATCAACATCCGGACCTTTTCTATCGCCTATTATACGTACAAATCCATTAAGTAAAAGTGAAATTCTGTCCATTCCCTGACACTCATAAACATACTCATCATTTCTATTCAATTGTACAAAAACGTGATAACAACATTTTTCTATGACTCAAATCTTATCTTAAATTTTAAATCGAATTCGAAAAAATCAAAGTTAGCATGTGTCTAAGCAAATAAATACATTCTTTTCTGAGTCAATAATGACAACCAAGGACAACGACACACATGTATTGTGTGTTATCACAGATACATAGGGTTTTCGTCGACTATAGAGATGAAGTCCACGACTCTCTTTCCATGAATTTCACAATCATCCGCGAAAATCTTATTCTTTTCACTTCATATAAATCTTCTTCGTCATGCTGTTGATGAAGATCACACATTCATATACTCTCATACCACACAAAAAGTAACATATGGGCAAACTTGATGGAAAAATTGCATTGATCACAGGTGCTTCACGAGGCATCGGTTTTGCTATTGCACAACAATTCATTGCTGAAAATGTACAACATCTTTTCATCACAGGTCGACATCAAAACACTCTCAACGAAGCGTTAGAACAACTTCGTTCACAAAATGTCACAACAGTACAAGGTGATGTGTCCGATATGACACATTTAGATTCACTTTATCAAATTATTCAACAACATCAACAACGATTAGATATTATTGTTGTTAATGCAGGTATCTCTCCTCTTGCTTTACTTGGATCAATCACTGAAAATGATTTCGATCAAACATTCAATATCAATGTCAAAGCCATTGTATTTACTGTTCAAAAACTTCTACCATTATTAACTGATGGTGCATCGATCATACTCATTGGTTCTGTTTCATCAATCAAAGGTCATCCTATGACAAGTATTTACAGTGCATCAAAAGCAGCTGTTCGATCATTTGCTCGATGTTGGTCAATGGAATTGAAACATCGAAGAATTCGAGTAAATACATTGAGTCCAGGAAGTATCGACACTCAAATGATAAAAAATGTTGCCAATACACAAGGAATAAAACCAACTTTTCTTTCTGATCTCATTTCAACTATACCTTTGAATCGATTTGGAACATCTGATGAAGTAGCAAAAGCAGCTGTTTTTCTTGCTTCCGATGATAGTAGTTATATCACTGGTATTGAATTATTTATTGACGGTGGAAGAGGACAAGTTTAAACATTTTCATTTCTCTTTTTATTTTTCTTATTTTCAAATCGAAATAAATATTCATTCTCTCTTTCATTCTGCGAATGTGATATATTTATTTTTATATGATGATCATTCTCCGAAAGATCTTTATCTTATCTTTTCATTTTTCTTTTCATAGAGATCCATGTTTTCTCATAGACTATATAAAATCAAACATGTCATCTTCTTCATCACATCCCTAACAATGAAGAATCACCCTCAACATTGTTCATTGCCAATATCAACACAACAACGACAATCTTGTCGATTAGATTGGGCACAATCTTCTCCTTTTCGATGGATTTATGTTCTCTTTTGGTTTTGGTTAAATCCAATCTTCAACAGTGCTTCGAAATATAAAATCACTGATGAACATTTATTTGATGTTTCACCAACTGATGATTGTCAACATTTATTAAATAAACTTGAAATTGTATTGAAAACATTTCAACATTCATCTCAATTGATCAATACAAAGAAAATCATTGCAAAAACATTTTGGAAAGAAACAATATTCATCGGTCTTCTTCTATTTCCATATTTTGCAGCTAAAATAGCTCAGCCTCTTCTTCTCAAACAAATTATCATGCATATTAACGATATTCATGTATCATCATCTGTTATTTATCTTTATGCAATTACTCTTGGACTTGTAAAAACAATTCTTGTTCTCATACATCATCAATATTTCTTTCATATAACACGAATAGGAATGCATATTCGTATTTCACTTTCAACATTTATCTATAAAACATTATTATCATTACCAAATAATACGATACGAACAATGACATTTAGTCAATTATTTAATCTTATTTCAAACGATCTCTACAAATTTGAACAATTTTTTGTTTATATTCATTTTCTTTGGGCCGGACCATTTCAAGCATTGATTATATTCATTTTCATTTGGAATGAAATCGGTATTATTGCAACTTTATTTGGTTATGCTGTTTTATTAATTCAAATTCCTTTACAATTATATTTTAGTTCTCTATTTCGATTTTATCGAAAAGCAACTATTCAATCGACAGATGAACGTATCAAAATCATTAATGAAATGTTAATGGCTAATCAAATGATTAAAATGTATCAATGGGAAGAAGCATTAGAACATCTTAGTAATCAAATTCGATCGAAAGAAATTCAAAGTATACAAAAAGCAAATCGAATTCGTTCAATTAACATGGCTATTCATTTCTTTTCATTATCATTGATTTCTTTTGCTACATTTGCTGGAAGTTGGTTCATTGGTCAAACATTATCAAGTGTAACAATCTTCACTATTTTATCATTCTTTGGAATAATGAAAGATCCATTAACAGTTGGTTTTCCTTATGCAATTGAAACAATGAGTGAATGTTTTATTGCATCTCAACGAATTGATCAATTTATGAATTTATCGAATACAAATCAATTACAACCCATCCATCAACATCTCAGCAGTGATTGTGATTGTATTGAATTGAACAAAGCTTCATTTATATGGAATTCTTCTCAATCACCACCACAACTTATTGATCTTGATGTCAAGATCAAATCCGGATCATTGGTTGCTATTATTGGATCAATTGCATCTGGAAAATCTTCTTTATTAGCTGCTATTCTTGGTGAAATGTTTCTTGTCAAAGGTCAAAGAAATGTCATTGGTAACATTGCTTATGTTTCACAAATACCTTGGATATTTACAGGAACTATTCGAGAAAATATTTTATTTTATCAAAATTATAACAAACAGAAATACGAACAAGTCTTAGAATCATGTTGTTTAGTATCTGATTTACAAAGATTTACAATTGGTGATGAAACAATGATTGGTGAAAAAGGAGTTAATCTAAGTGGAGGACAAAAAGTACGAATTGCACTTGCACGAGCTTTATATATGAATGCCGATATTTATTTATTTGATGATCCTTTAGCAGCAGTTGATTCTCATGTAGCACAAATCATTTTTCAACAATGTTTTAGTCAGACAAGTATCTTAAAAAACAAAACACGTCTTTTAGTTACTCATCAAACACAATTTCTCTCTCAAGTTGATTATTGTATTCTCTTAGATCATGGTCATATTCAACAACAAACTTCATTTACTCAACTTACCAACATTGACAAGATTCAACATAATAATCATTTCAATACAATTCATCAGATTAATTCCACAACAAATCAATTCGAAACTCATGATAAACATTCGATTATCAAAGAAGAAACGTCTAAAGATGGAACAGTCAATCTTTCGATTTGGTTCAAATTGTTCACTTCGAGTTATGGATGGAAAGGATTCGTTTTTCTCATTTTTTTCATGTTACTAGGTGAAACTCTTCTTGATACAACAAATAAATGGTTAAGTGTTTGGTCATCAACATCTAAACAACAACAAAAACAATATTTTTATATTTATCTTGGATTAACAATCACAACATGTCTCATTGCTCTCTTTCGTGCTCATGTTTTCTTTCATATAATCCTACGTAGTGCATCAATCTTTCATACAAAGATGTTAAAAGGTGTTCTGTATACTTCATTGACATTTTATGAAAGTAATCCTATCGGTCGAATTCTCAGTCGATTTAGTAAAGATCAACAGATTCTTGACGAACAATTACCAGTAACATTTTTTGATGCTATGCAATCATTATTCATGACTATTGGAAGTATTATCATCATTGCAATGGCAAATCCTTGGATATTGTTGATTCTTCTCTTTATTATTCCATCATTTATTTGGTTTAGAAAAATTTATCTACGAGTTAGTCGACAAGTCAAACGATTAGAAAGTACAAGTCGAAGTTCAATCTATGCTTTATTTTCTTCATCATTCACTGGATTGATGACTATTCGAGCATTTCAAGTTCAACCACACTTTCTAAATTCATTTATGGAGAAAATTAATGCAAACACACGTGCTTTGTTCATTTTCAATTGTTCAACTCGATGGTTTGCATTACGATTAGATCTTTTAACTTGTTGTTTCACATTTGTTACAGCTATTCTTTCTGTTATCTTGCGACAACACATCGATCCATCTTCACTCGCTTTGGCTTTGGTCTATGTCATTAATCTTTCCGAATTATTTCAATGGGGTGTTCGACAATCAGCTGAAACAGAAAATTCCATGATTAGTGCAGAAAGAATCGATGAATATGCTCATCTACCTATCGAAACAGGTTTCGATGAAGACGAGATTCAACCACCCATCGATTGGCCATCCCAAGGAAACATTCAGTTCCAACAATTTCATTTCACATATCGACCTGAACTCGAGCCTGTACTCAAAGGAATCAATCTGAATATCAAATCACATCACAAGATCGGTATCATCGGACGAACAGGTGCAGGAAAATCATCCATCTTTCAAGCACTCTTTCGACTCACCGATAAATCGACTGTCACTGGTCAATTACTCATTGATGACATCGATATCAGTCGAATCAGTCTACGAAATCTACGTTCAAAACTGAACATCATTCCACAAGCACCTGTTCTCTTCAGTAATACACTTCGATACAATCTTGATCCATTTCATCACTACACAGATGAACAAATATGGAATGCATTAGAAGCAGTTCAGTTGAAAAACAAAATCACAAATCTCGAAGATCAACTCAATACAAAAGTAGCAGAATATGGTAATAATTGGAGTGTCGGTGAATGTCAACTCATATGTGTGGCACGCGCAATTCTAAAACCAAGTCAAATTCTTCTTATTGATGAAGCCACTGCACATATTGACATGAAAACAGATCACATCATTCAACAAATCATTCGTGACAAGTTTCGAAACTATACGATCTTAACAATCGCACATCGACTGAACACCATCATAGACAATGATCGTATTGTGATAATGAACAACGGAACCATCACCGACTATGGAACACCACAACAATTATTATTACATATAGATGAAAATCAAGAAGAAGAAGAAGAAACAGACACATATCTTTAGTTCCACTAAAATGACATTCGTGATCTTTGTTTTTTTTCTTTTCGCACTGGATGATAACACAGAATACATATTAACTTCTGACCCGTAACGTAATCGATCATCTCCACTTTTCTCATGAACTTTTTGTAAGAAGCAACAAAGTCCGACATCTAATCGGAGTTGCATTACTTTCTCACTTCTCGACAACATCGAACAAATCAAAGCAATCACAAATGGACACGTTTCATCCATCTCACTAATCTCACAAATGTGAGAAGAAGTTCTTTTCGAAATGTTTTCGATGCCCATGTGTAGAGGAAAAACGTGCTCTAAAAATGACAAATGATCGTCTTTCAGGAAGCGACGATGATGACACTTACTGCAGTGTATGTGTACAGCAGAATCAGAGCTGTTGAAACAATGAATGCATCTATCGCAAGTTGATCTGTTGATTTGGGTAATGTACTTGTCAAATAAGAATAGAGAGGAAATATGGTGGATGTCATTGCAAAAACAACATAGAAAATCACTTGTAACAAAGAGACTTTCATCAACTGGAATTCTCGTCGATAATGACTGACATTCATTGAAAGAGATCGATTCGTTGTTGCTTTTTTTGTTGAAATGACAACATTGACTGCTGGTTGAATGATTTGAATACGTCGATAATGACGAACGTTATGTAAAGTCAACAGAGTAAACACACTGATGATGAGAAATGGTACAATAGATGAAATTGTTATTTGAATAGCATAGAATTGAGCATAAGCTGAGCCAAGTGGTGCTCCACAGAAGTGTGCTGAAGTTGTTTCATATCCAATCAAACCATGAATACTAAACATAAGCCAAAAACACACACTACCGATAATCAATGAAGTAGCAAGACGAGGTGAACTGAATTGTCTGATTCGTGCATGTTGTGTTGACAAAATCCAACGATCAATCGAAATCAAACATAAGAATTGACGAGTCAGACCAAGACTGAAGATATAAACAAAGATTCGTAGTTTACAAAGACCAACATTCATTCCAGCAAGATCAACACCAGTTCGAGAGATGATCACTCGTGTTAAACCAAACGTATTGAAAAGAAATATTTGTGCAACGGACATTCCAATAAAATAACGTGAACAAGTGTTGGAACGTAATTTTCGACGAGAAAAGATCAGAATATTGGTGAGATTGCCGAGAATACCGATGACATAGATAAATGTCATGTAGTATGTCATGAGTGTTGTTGTTAAACTTGTCAATTGACTTGCAAGTGTCATTGTTCTCGTGCGAATATCTGAAATAATAGAGAAGAAGTGAATTTCTGAGGTGAGGAAATATATTGATGACGGATGAAATTCGAACAGGAGGAAGAATCGTGTTGGAATAGGTTTAATTCAGATACTCCATACAAAGTTTCAAGCGAGTTTCTAAGATAGAACTGAGAAAATCATTAATGCGAAAAGTAAAACTAATGTCGAAACATGCTATTCTATGTTGTCTCTCTCAACTAATAAATTAATGAATATCATTCAAAAAGGTCGGCAAAGCGTGAGTTTAGAAATGACCTTAGAATCTTTCCAGCGTTAATCTTCTTTCCACACAAGTGAATTATCTTCGTAGCACACAACTATTTCATTCTTTTCTCCTACTCATCCATTCTCTTCCGTATCCTGTATTCTTTTATTTGTTCATTAAGTATACACCAGTACATCATACTTCATTTGCGAATACGATATATATAACGGAAATCGACTGTTCTTATGTTATATTGACAAAAGTCATGAGGAAACTGAGGAATATCATCATAGTCATACAGTATATTCTTTGTGATATGAGACATATAGCATTAGAATGTCAACAGATTCACTGATTGATTTGAAAAGTCATCAAGTATTTCGTTTCACTTACTTTGTATGTTGAAGGAGTGGAATTTCTACTTGATCTGATCAACTACAACTACTTTCTAGTAACTTCACATTAGGATAGATAAGTAGTGTCATAACATGTGAATAAGAGCAGTGAAAACAGTTGTCTGTAAATGTGTTTCGATGTTCAATGATGAAAACTAAGTGCGAGAAACACTATTTAATCAGTGTCTGCTTTCAATACTTGAATTAATAACAATGATGACAATTGTTGCTCATAGTACCCATTGGATGCCTTTCGGACGAATTCGATTTTGTTTCGTTTTATTCACAGATTTGACTGACGCAAAGTGTTTTTCATTTAGATCAATCGATGATGAGAGAAATGTTCATTTCACATGGTGTTTGCATGACTTATCCATCAACCACTGAATTTTGTTTTCTACCTTTTAAGTTGTGTTTACGAAACATTTTATGATAATATCAAAGAAATCTTTTACATAACTCGTGACTTTTACAATTGCAACTCGAATCTACAAGATTGAATATTCGGCTATATAATTCCAACCTTTTCATCAAACAAAACACTCCTATAATCGACTTGAGAGTTAAATATTCTTGCTACTCAAGAAAATACGTAGTGAATGCGATTGTAAATGTTTGATTGTGAACTTTTGAAATGAAACCGTAGTTTAGTAAATGATATTGAATGATTTGTTGATGTTCAACAACAGTTAAAATTCAAAGTACAAAGTGGAAAAGAACTTATTCTTCACCTTTTTCTACGAAATTCCTTTTCTTCAACGTTAAAATGTTTGTTGTCTACAGAAATAGTTGATTATTTATGATATAAACGATCACGATATACACAATCATTTGAGAAAAAGTTTACTGAGAAACATAATTCTTCGAGTTTCATCTCAGTTTTCTCTACGACAACAACAACAACAACAAAGTTAATTTTCCAAAATATGAACTATTTATGAAATATTTGTTTCAGGCGATCAACTACACTTGAATTACAATAGTTGAAAGTCGTAGAGAAAAGAGTGAATGAATTTCAGCGTTTTGTTCTCACAATGTCTTTGACGAGAAGAGCGTTAATGCACACTAAGGCAATTCCTATGATACGCAATATGATGGCATCTATTACCTCAGCTATTTTCTTTCGTGTTTTCTTTGTATTGTTATATATATATATATATACACGATGCAATAAAAGATATAGCCAGTTATACCTAACTGGTAATATCAAACGCACGTCTCGTTTTCTATTCTCACAAGTCAAGGTATAACAGTAATAAATGTCAATAATTGAACATTTCATTCGTGCTGTGTATGTGAATCTTTCAGTCAGATCATATTTTTTCAGCAGATGATTGTGCTCCTATTTGATATCATTTTTGTATATCACTCTATTCTTCTTGATATGGCATCTCTTCGATCTGTTCTCATGGTTTCGATATCAAACACATCTTTGCCAGCATGTCAGTCATGTGAATTAAATAAGACAAACTGTAAAGATTGCTATTCGATCGAAATGTATCACAACTTATCAAGATGTTGTTTATTGTCAAGTATTCACTTTCAGTTTCGTCTATTCAGTGATTATATCGATGACGAATATCTCATATCTAATCAAACGAATGCCAGGTATTTTCGTATTCTGATGGAGAGTAGTCACTGTTTTATATTTTGATATCAAGTGATCCGTTCTTCGATACACTTATTTTTTTGATTTCACAGCAACAGATATTTACAATACAAATATAGTAGCTGGTGTCGATGTAACATCATATTTTAGCAGAGCGAGTTTAACATCGATGACTTCATGTACTCGGTCTACTGATTTAACATCATATAGTAAAAGAGATGAATACTAATATCAATACACGATTTGTCAATCATGTCTATAACGCGGTACCACTTACCGAGTCAGGTTTTATTATCGGCCATTCACGAAATCTGTCACGACTAGAAGGTGTATGTTTTGCTATAGTCACAATTGATTAGATAGATTATTTCGTCGAATCACTATTGAGAAAGTAGTCAAGTTCTTGTTGGCTGTTCACTTTTGAGTTTAGGAAATAGTTGGACTCAGCACTCTGATTTATATCGAATCACCGCAGCTGTGACAAGTTTCGCAGCAGAATCAACTTTCTTTTCAAGGCAAATAACCAAGAATACAGACAGTTATGTTAGCTATTGCCGTTTAATAGATCAAAATAAAAGTTAGCACACTATATTAATGATAATATGTAATTTAAAATTAAGGTTTATTTCTAATAAAAGAATTAATACACATCAATTCAAAAGAATTTAAGTGTGAATTTTGCGTTGCACTTATTCTAATAGGTAGAAAGAAAAGAAAGAAAAAGATTAAATCGATATATACACCACAAGTCTATCCGCTCGGTCCATCTTTCCTTGTTTATGAAAAACAGTCGTTAGAAGCTTTTATCATTGGTTTACAAATATTTATTGTTTCTACATTCATTTATTCTTCTTTACATAGATAGCGATGGGAGTCGCTAGTAGTGGTGACTAATATTCGTATCGTTAAATTAGATAAATTCTTTTTTTTTTATAGTTGCATTGTCTTCAAAAATGTTGACTCCTGTTGATTATATTCTCGGTAGTTATGATATGCGAAATCTGTCGAAGTTTTATGCACCACCAGGTAGTGCTGAAAAAGCAGCTGAAACTTTATTAGGACTCCATAAAAACTCATCAATTACTATTCTAACTGGTTTCTGTGTAACCGAAAAACTCGTCGACAACCAGAAAACACCCGTCGCCGAAAGTGATGGTCCACCAGGTGCAGTTCTTGCTGGTGAAATCTTTCGTCAACTATCTTACCATGTTTCCTATGTTGCTGATCCTGTGACTTGTCAGATTCTTCGTGCTTGTTTGAAATCACGAAAAGATGACGATAGTCATGTTTACGAGTTCAATTCCTCACACAATGAAAAAGAGCGAATTGCTGAAGCACAGAGACTTCTCAATGCGCTTCAATCCAAAGCAATACTCGCTGGTGAACTCTCAAGTCGAAACTGGTTTGATGGCGTTCGTCGAAATATGATTGGCAAGAACATCGATGACTGGAATCCACCTGTGGATGAGATGCTTGTTCAATTTAAAGGTAAAGGTATTATCATTGCTGTTGGTGACGGCGGCAATGAAGCTGGTATGGCTAATTTGAAGGATATGATCCCTTTGGCACCAGACGGGAAAACCATTGTTGGAAGTGGAGTGTATTCGGACATACCTGTCACATCTTGGAATTCTAATCTTGGCTTACAAGCCATTGCTTCTGTTGCGGCAGCAAAAGAAAATCGACTTGATCTGATTCCGACGGGTAATCAAGTGATCCAGATGATTGAAACTGCTTTAAGTGCTGGTGCTGTCGAAGGTGTCACTCGAGGAGAAGAACAGAATTCTTTGAATGGAGCCTATGCCATACATGGTGTTGATGGATTTGCCCCTTCGGTTCATGGAGCTGATCAAGATAAACTGAGAAGCACATTGATTCAAATGAAAATCAAAGGAATGTTGTAAATTGAATAGAAAAAGACATTTCGTTGGAACAGAATAAAAGCACTTACTTATTCCAACAAGCAATTGCGTAATATAGATCTCTATGTGCAAAGCTTCTCATTTTTTTCTCATGATCCCTCTTAGCTATAGTATTTATAATTGCGTAATTGGATTGATTTAGAGTTAGTTCAGTCGGTGAACCTTTTTACCATTGATTTACCTTTTGAAAGATTCGTAAAACAAAGTTACCTCTGCATTTTATCCTCTTCTCTTGATCTGTTATAGTTCGATTTCTGCAAGACAAACTATATTGACGGTGTATACAAGAGAAAATCGTCCTTATATTCCCCAGTGCTCACAAGAAACCTCAATTTCTTTCAAAATTAAACCGATCTGTAAATGGTTAACAACAGTAGGCAATAGAACAACTGAGTGAGATACGAGTATAAGGGAGAAATTGAATCTTATATTTCAAATTGTCATGCGCGTGATAAGTATTCGCATTATTTTTGTCGAGTTACATTCTATCTTACTACCTTCGCGCTTTGATCAGAGTGGATAGAGGATGTCATAACATGCGAGTATCTACTTAACCGAAAACATGTACATAATGTATGTCGACATATTATTCTTTTGCACAACTAATTATATTTTCTTTTTTCTAATAGAGGAAAGAGAAAAAGAATCGCGTATATTTAAACCGAAGAAACAGTACGATAGAGAGTATACAATGCATATTATTGGTGTTGACGTCGGTGGTACAAATACAGGTAGATATAAAAGTTACTTTCGTTGATCACAGATGCACATTATTTGATTAATAATTGTAGATGCGGTTCTACTCAGAATCGAAGATGATCAATGTAAGTCATTTCGATCTATGCGACTCTTTATCATTTGTTTATGTTGCTTCTAGCACCCAAAGTAGTTACTGCTGTGAAAGTAGTAACAACTTCGGATGTGTTTTCAGGATTGATTCATGCCGTGAAACAAGTTGTGCATAACACCAGTGTAAATGCTATCGTGGTTGGTACAACACATTTCATCAATGCATTAATTCAACGGCGGGATCTAGCTAAAGTTTGCATCTTACGACTTTGCGGACCGGCAACACATTCCATCGCACCGATGTCAAATTGGCCACAAGATTTAAAACATGCAGTACTGGAAAACTCGATTGATTTTTTTCCTGTACTAATCTGTGTATGTTTAGGTCGATGGATTGACTCCTCTAGTTTCTGGTGGTTATTTCTTCGATGGATCGGAGATCAGTTCATTGAACGAGGAAGAAGTTCGGTCGACTGTTCGTCGTGCTCTCGCTTTGAATATTAACACATTTTGTGTGAGTGGTGTTTTTTCACCATGTCGAACTGATCAAGAAGTTCGTGTTGGAGAGATTATACATGAAGAATCACATACGGCATACGTTACACTTTCGCATGAAGTTGCTGGTCTTGGTCTATTGGAAAGAGAAAATGCTTCGATACTCAATGCTTGTCTTCGCCCGTTGGTGATGCGGACGATCGGAATGCTAAAAGATTCCCTTCCTCACGACGCTTCTATTTTTCTTACAAGAAATACCGGTACATTACTTTCGTCTGAAGATGCGACACGATGGCCAGTATTTACTTTTGCTAGTGGACCAACGAATTCCATGATCGGTGCAGCTCATCTGAGTGGCATTCAAAATGGAATTGTCATTGATGTTGGAGGAACATCAATTGATTTCGGTGTCATTGTTAATGGCCGACCGAGACAAACCCACGCAGTAAGTTCGTTGATATTCATCTACACTTGAATACTCGCTAAAATGTAATTCAGAATATAAAATTAGTCGACGACATTCGAGTGAACGTTACCGTACCTGACACATATTCTTCACCCTTGGGTGGTGGTACAGTTATTCATGTGACTGAAGAAGATCAATCTGTTCAAGTCGGACCTGATAGTGTCGCCTATCAACTTGAACAACAAGCTCTAGCGTTTGGAGGACGAACAGTTACTGCTACTGATGTGGCTCTTGCAGCTGGTCTAGTCAAAGAGGTGAAAAATCTTTATCGATAGCTAAAAAGATTTTATTGACTCATCATCGGTTTTAGATTGGTCATCGTGATGTTAAGCTACCTGCAAAAATTATTGAACAAGTCCTCGCATATGTGAATAAAACGGTGACAAGTGGCGTCGATCGAATGAAAACAAACCCAGAGCCAGTTCCAGTTATTCTATGTGGTGGTGGTTGCATTCTTATCGACCAAAATAAATCCTTTCCAGGCGTAACTAAAGTAAACCGATCATTTGCTTTTATTTCAATCTTATGCTCGTCATTTGTTTGAAAGATGATACGTCCCGATCACTTTGCTGTATGCAATGCTGTGGGTGCTGCTCTATGTTCAGTAAGTGGAACTCTTGATCTCATTACAGATCTTGTTCCAACATCTGTTGACGGAGGCACACAGCGTAAAGCTGAACTTGATCGATTAGTTCTGCAAGTTCAGGAACAATGTGAGCATAATGGAGCTCGAAAAAAAACAATTCAGTTGTCAGAACTAGAATTGATCCCATTATCTTACCATTCNATGGTTATTCTAAAGTTAATCACAAAGAAGGAATCAAACTATTGACTGGAAGTTATTTGCAGGAGTTTGCAAATAAAGGATTGATACCAAATACACTGCTTGAACCATTAAATTATCTTTCGCAAATGTTAGATGCTGTCACTAAGCGTTTAATCGAAGTCCTTGATCAACATTCAGTATTTCAACAGCATCCGTCTTTATCAAATCTTATTAAACGAGCTCGTTTACCACTGAAAAATGAACATTTTGGTATGCTTGATATTGTATCTTATTTTAATGATAAAAGTGGTTTTCAACCACCACAAAATGGAGAATCAACTGAAGAAGTGAATTGCGTTCCACATTATGATCCAGGATTACTTTCAATTAGTATTCTATCAACACATGAAGGTCTTCAATTGAAAAAGATCATAAATAATGAATGGATTGATGGACCATTAGAATCAAATATTGGAGTTATTTGGTTAGGAGAAAAAGCATCTCGAATAACAAAAAATCGATTGAAAGCAGGAATTCATCGAGTTATCTATCCTCGAGAATCGAAACGTCGATTGACGGTTTGGTATGAAATATGTACAACTCAGCAATTAAAAGATATTAGTGATAAGAAGACGAATGAAATAATGGCTGGTGGAATGGTTACATTTAATAATCTTCCAGGAGCATCTCCTATACCTGTATTTCGTAATGAGAGAAGATTGGATTTTCTGATGCGATTTGAACGGTCTCATGGATTAACAATGACTAAAGCGCCTCCACCGCGATATATTCTCCCAAAACATGGCATTTCATTTCCAACAGATTATTCAAACACGAATTACAGCGGCGCAGAATCTTCCATGAAACAGTCGCGTTTGCGCCCACGGACAAACTTGTCCTCGAAGTCTCAATTTTCGGAAAGTAAAATTTCAAAACGTTCACGTAGAAATACGCCAAAGATTTCCCCCAAAACGAAAAATACCCCCCTCCACCACGCGGAGGCGCACGAGGAAGATTCTGCACCTCCGACGAATTAACTACACTCTTAAAAAAGTTCTTTCGCTTGACAAATCGGAAGAACCGTTTTTGGTTCTGTTGAAATTCAGATTTCGTACTGAAGGTTATGTATAAAGCTCTTTCGAATAGACACGAGCAAAGGTTTCGTATGAATCTTTTTTATTTCAAGTGAAGGAAGGTTTCGTGGTAAAAGTTTAGTCTAAAGCTACGGCTTCAAACTACAAATAGAAGAGTTCTGTACACAATACTTTATATCGAACATTTTCTACGGCCTTTCGATGAAGGTTTTGCGTATATTCAGTTACAGAATACCTTGTGATGAATATGACTTATTTATTTGAGCTTGAGCTGTTTTCTATCGGACTGATAATTTGAATAAAGTCCACCTAAAATCAAGTCTTCTTTTAGAATAAAATTGATCAGCTCATGTTAAGTAAATTTTATTAATGGTTCTAAACTTTCACCAAAAACAATTTACTCGTCTTTACGAGTAGCATTTCCTTATCAACCATTCTATATCTTGTTGCATCTATTCAATTCCAAAAAGTACAGATAAATTTCATTCTCTAACAAAACAGCGCCATCTTTTAGTAGATTATGGATTGTTCCTTTGTCTCATACATTTGTACTTTTGTGGGTTTTTCTCAAGAGTAGCCATTGTTTTATAATTTGATGTCAAGTGCTCCGTTCTTGGATACACTTATTTTTTTATTATTTCACAGCAACAGATATTTACAATACAAATATAGTAGCTGGTGTCGATGTAACATCATATTTTAGCAGAGCGAGTTTAACACCGATGACTTCATGTACTTGGTCTACTGATTTAACATAATATAGTAAAAGAGATGAATACCAATATCAATACACGATTTATCAATCATGTCTATAACGCGGTACCACTTTTTTCTACCAAATCAGGTTTTATTATCAGTCATTCACGAAATCTGTCACGACTAGAAGGTGTATGTTTTGCTAGTTACAATCGATTAGATAGATTACCTTGTCGAATCACTATTGAGAAAGTAGTCAAGTTCTTGTTGACTGTTTACTTTTGAGTTTAGGAAATAGTTGGACTCAGCACTCTGATTTATATCGAATCACCGCAGCTGTGACAAGTTTCGCAGCAGAATCAACTTTCTTTTCAAGACAAATAACCAAGAATACAGATAGTTATGTTAGCTATTGCCGTTTAATAGATCAAAATAAAAGTTAGCACACTATATTAATGATAATATGTCATTTAAAATTAAGGTTTATTTCTAATAAAAGAGTAAATAAATATCAATCCAAAAGTAATTAATTGTCAGTTTTAGATTATAATGCTGATAATAAATAATAGGTTTATCACTAAGTTTGGAATAGAACGTGGATGGTCGATACATATAAACCGCCAATGATAAATACTCGATGTTTATGCTTATTTTTATAAGAATGTCACTACAGCCTCCCTTTTTTTGCTTTTGATACTTATGAAGAGAGAAACTACATATTGTTTTCATTTGATCTAGAAATATCTACGGCATATGTGAATAGAATCAAAACAACATTTATAGAATTCTGACAAGAGATGTCTATTTAGTTCAAATATTATAGAGTTTTTTATTCATCTTGTGATGTAAACACTGAAACTGATTGCACTTTTTCTAAGATACCGTCAAATTGAATCCTGAAACATATTTTCCCACCCGTACATGTTGGCAATATTCAGCTATTAGAGTTTTTGAGATACTCAGCAAGCGATGTATTTCCTCTCACTATATTCTCTGAATGCCTTAACGTAGTTTCATCGTAGGTGATACTTATTCCTTTCATGACGAGCGGTTCACACTTTGAAAGAAACTTTCGTTGTTAAAACAGCTCAACCATAAAAAAATCGTTTTCGTTTCGATTTTTTTTCTCAGATATCATTATCACGAAGAGAGACTCTATGCTTTACTGGATGCTTACTGATTAATTTCTCTGCAATCACAGCACTGTAGTATAATCCCCATCAATGTGTTTCTTGACTTGGCATGGTGTAATTGAGTTATAACCGGTATTGCTTATAAAGTGAACAAGAAGTTTGGTAGAACGAATAATATACTCAGAACATGATGATCGTTATGATAGTATCGTTCAATTCGATGAAGCAAAAGTAAGTTTAGATCACTTTTGATAGTTTTTAATTATGTTTTTGTTGTTCCAGTGCTATGTAGATGATTAATCGAATGCGAATATTTATTCTTCGTTTATCTTTTATTGTTTTATCATCATTTTAATATGCACTTTGTGCGCCTGACAAGAGATGTGTTTTCACGTTTGTGTGGAGTTGAAATCAATCGTCTTATTCTCTGATTTGTTACGTGACGAAAACTGAGCGGAGCGTTAAAAGCCACCTGTTATTCAAAGAGAGTGAATCACACAAGGGATTATAACTTGCAACAGTACTATGAATAAAATCTCAGGTATTATAACTTCACAGGCAACTTATATTCAATTTTGAATAAGGTTTTTCTCAATTCGTACATCAATGCTGTCTTCGCAAAAAAAACATAATCATCATCATGTCATTCTTCTTCACCTTTCACTCAAGCGCTTCTGTTCATTGTGGATAGATGTATTTATTCACCTTTGGTAGTATTTTCTCATGACAATTGTCAGTATTAAATGTCATCGAAAAATTAATGAACTTTGGCATAGATCGCATCGAATTCGAATATAAATTCATCATGGTGAAAAATAAACTATCAAGTCCTATTTCAAAACAAAAATGACTTCTCATTCATACTAATTAACTTTTGAGAACAGTGAGGCTGAGAGAGAGAGAGAAAATTTCTAATATAATCCAAGATAGTTAAACGTTTGCTTCTGTAACATTAACATAGATCCTGTGTTCATAGAAGTTGCTAATTGAAAAGGAAAATAATAGCTTCATGTGTATTTTTGTTCTCAAACTGACAAACATCGTCTTTTAGTGGTACTATTGAATCATCTGTTCGTTAATTGGAAATATCTGGTATAATGTGGATTATACTAAAGTCTATATCTTTGCAAATAACATCGTGTATGGAACGTTTCTATGCTATCCATTAGTGCGGCTGTTGCGCAAGATTCTACATTTGTTTACTGATTATACGAAGATGCATATAGCATCGTTATCTTGGTATTAACCGCTTTTTTTCTCCCCATGCAGATGTCGACGAGAGATAGAGAGAAAGAAAACCTCCAGGGACAAATGGCAATTATTAATATGTGAGTCCGGATGTGATTCTCTCTTGACTATCGTATTTTAGAGAAGCAAAATACATGTACAGTTTGTCAGCTTGAAGATATCAGAGGTCACTGAAAATAAAGAGAAGAGAAGCATTACTATATCGGTGCTTTCTTTTCTTTTTATCTTTCTTTCTCTTTCTCTGTACAGACGAGCGGTTGGCCAATTCTTTTTCTCTCTATGCGCGATTATGTTCTCTTTGCTTGTCTCGTATAGTTGTATAAATAGATAGCATTTGCACCAGAATTTATCATTCGGTCTCATATCTGTACTTCTCTTCTCTCTTGCTCGTCGGCATATCATTGGCTAGTACTCATTTGATTATACAAGAAAAGAATGTCTACACAAAATATTTTGCTTGCTTCGGCTATCCTTGTGAGTTTTATCTGTTCATGGACAACAGTTCCTGTTGTTGGATTATCACCAAATAAGAAAGATGATTCGACAAATAATCAATCGACGACTACTAGCATTAACTTCTCAAATAAACAGTAAAAATACTCAATTTCCGATAAAAAGCACTTCGTTTTCGTTTATATCTAATTGTAGTGATGGTAAATACTTGAATTATGTTCGCCTTTTGGATGGTCAATGTTTCAATTGCTCAACATATAAATGTACAACTCATAAAGCAAATATGGGTGGTTCAGAATGGTGTATTATGTTATTTCCCGACGCTCTTGCTCATTGCGATTCAGATGCCGATTGTGGTGGATATACAATGACAACAGCTCGTTGGTTTCATGAGCAATATGATAAAAATGGTCAAGTTGCTGTTCATTTAACTAAAGCTGGAGAAAAAACATTCAATTGTTCGTTCACCGAATGGAGCAGCTATGAAAAACAGAATACAATTCGTGACACACCTGTTGTATATGGCAAAACGACTTGTCCAGCTGCAAATAATTTTAATTATGTTTTTGATAGTACATCAACTGGTAAGAATGATGATCAAGTTTATTCATGTCAAAACCATCCTCAAAATCAAGATGACACAAATGTTAATTGCATTTTATTAATGAGCGAAGGCATAACACATTGTAACTCAGATGATCAATGTCAAGGATTTGCAATCAATACGGATCCAGACTGGCAAAAGAAATACTCCAAGAATGGTATGCAAGCTGTGCAATTGTTTGGACAAGGTGCAATATCTGCATCAAATGAAATGTGGCGTATTTTTAAAAAACAAGTTTAAGTTCAATTTCTCGTTTGTTGTTTGTAGTTTATTTCGATACGTTCGGACATTTTTCTGTGGGATGCAGCGTCTATCGCGCATGTTTCTTCTTGAACTATATATTTAGCCCAGATATTCGTCGGTATTGCGTCGACTTGAATATTCATATTATTCGAAAAACTTCGTGTTTATTTATGGCGATAAAATGAATGCGAAAGACGAAAACCAAGATCGACATATGGATACTGACAGCAGAAGAGGGGGCAAATATATAAATAAGTGTATCGGTTATCAAATAATGTAAGTATGACGTGTAAACATTGTAAAATAATGTTGATCTTCGATATCTATGCATAGATAGAATTCGTTACGACGAAATATCTTCAATGAAAACTGTGTTTTTCGTATGCATAATACTATATATCGCCGTATAAGAAGTTGAAACGATGTATAATATTAAATCCAGATACTTTTGACTGTCAAAGAAAAGTATTGGGTATGTACATGATGGTTATAGTCATAGTATATAGTTTGATATAGAGAGTGAGAGACTTTATATTTCCACAATTGATGTTATATCGAAATAAATATGAAATCTTGTCTTTTCTCACTAGCTTATCAAAGATTATCATTCAAAGCATGCAAAAAATATGGTGAATCAATAGGAGAGGTGAGAGTCACTCCGTAAATACTGTTTCCGCTTGTTTTTAGTTGTCAAGTGTGTTATCTGTGGACAAATTGTAGTATCTACCATTCTTCAGCATGGGATGCCTTTTTAAATACTGGAAACTGCTTCGATAAATATCGTGAGATTAGTGAAGGTATATTTATTACAATTAGACGATATTGTAAGTACTGGACATGCGCACGATGTATAGAAGTTGGTCAATGGAACAAAGCAATACGGATCATATTCGATGAAAGGTAATGTATCCGTAAGGTTTGGTGACGTTGGTTAATGCTCCGAAATCAACGTTGCTCAATTCAGAGTAGCGAATGTAGAATTTATTCAGGCACTTCATTTTAATGATCATTGTAGCATAGAAATACATAATAAAATACAGTATTGTTTCGAGGCAATGAACGACTCTATAACAAATGAATAAAATAATATTCTGAGAAATAAAACGTTTCAAAAACAGAAAATTTCCTCGTATATGTGGATAAAGGATATGATGGTATCACAATATAACACAAGCGCTGGATTTAACTTTTTTTGGCTTCGGTGTAGGTTTTGCGGCATCTGTCAGCTTTGGTTCGTCTACTGGTAATATTGAAGGTTTATATAAAAAAGTAGGTTTATCCGCCGGTGGCGGATCATTCAGTCCAATCTTGGATTTATTATCAATTGCTTTCAGTATAATGCATTCTGACGTTCTTCCGGTAACTTTGAACAATGAATAAGGGGAAAATAAGTATTCTTCCTCATTTTCAAAATGTGAAACTGCTGCGATGTTTCTAACTTGTTTACATCCGGCAGGAATGTGAATTTCGAATAATACTAGACCGAATTTTTTGGCAGCAGCCTTAGATTTGGACGTTGATGTGAATCCGGGAAATCGAAAAACAGTATTAGTCTTGAAATGTTCCTTCTGCTTGTTAGTCAACTCCATACAACGATAGACAACACAGTCGTTAGGCGGGGGTTTGTAGTTTATTTGACTAGTAGCTCTGCGAATTAACGGCATCAGTTTAACAAGTATATGTCCTGCATCGTTTGCCAGTTGTCTATTTACGAATGCGTAAAAGGACTGAGCGCCATATTTAAGATCAGAGGTATACGTACGAATCACATCGTGTTCCTCCGGTTCGTCTACGATTGCTTTGTGTACCAAATGAGCGTTACCATAATTGAAAGGTAAAGATTTTAAGGAATTAATTACAGCGTACTTCTCTGGACGTCGTTCTGTTTGATCATAGTGCTTCAAAAACTCACTATCATAGAATTGCTTTTGTGAAACAAATGGTATTTCAATAAAGAATCGATCCTCTCTAAGATTGAACATGTATTTCTAAAAATGATGCAATATGAGTCATATGTACATACGCAGATATTACTCGTTCTTTGAATTAGCTGACCCTCTTCTGAAAGATGGCGAGATATGTGATTTCGCTTCGAAACTGTGAGAATTGGAATCCGGAAATTCTGAAATTCATTAAGCTTACGAAGGGAAGATGTTTTCAAATTCGTATAACTGACAATGCGGGCAGATCTGATTTCCGATTGTACAACATCATGGAGTAAGATAGTTTCTCATGTCACAAGGCCATTGAACTGAGTGTCAACCGCAAACGACAAAATATGTTGTAAGGTGGTGAACAAATTGATTCGAATAACCATCTCGTCACTCATGTCTATTCATACGTTTAAGCTTATGAGTTATGAATCGATTTGGTCAGTGAGTGAGGACACTCGGAGCTCCAACCACACTATTGTGTGACTGTGCACTGGTGACGGTCCTAGACGAACTAACACGATCATTGCTATGCTTTGGGGTGAACTAATACTCTGAAAAACTCAAATCCACTTCGAAGGGACCTTACGCAAACCATAGTGCATGACTATAATAATTGTAAGCACGTGGACCATCTTGAGTAATAATATGATTGCACAAGCGAAGGATTACAATGCACCAATCTATTTAGGATACGAACTTGGTCACACTAGGATATATTACTAGTCGTGAACTAAATGTCTTCTGATGTAACCCTTTCACTGTTGGAAGGAATTCTGAGCGAACGGGGATGATGAATATATGATGTCACTGAGGAAAATTTGCTATTAGGGTCTGAAGGTCACAATTTGAAATATTAAAAGAAAGAGTTACTTTACCTGTGATATCAGAAATAATAAAACGGGTACTGATAAATAGCCGAGCAGAGCAGAAACTTGGAAAAAAAAATTCACGTTGCAAATACATTTCATGATAAGTTGATAAGACTATTTGCGTTTTCTCTTTTCGTTCCTGCTGCACTTTTTCGACGAAGTTTTATTATATCAGAAATATATTGCGAGTATATTGGTTAAATCTTCTACCGTCTCAGATTATTTTTCGAAGACCTCTTTGAATTGATTTGTTGGCCTTGTTACGTAGAATATTCGAAAATTGTGTAGTCAATCGGTGAAACTTTAACATACATTATGGAATAACAGTAAATCAAGAAACAGTATGCATAACACTAATAGATCTTCTTCTCAGCGCAATGATTTTCATCTGCAACGATATTCTCAGATTTCAAAGTCATTGTAGATTTGTCGAAAGTTAATCTGAGTATCAGCAATAACTTATTTGACTTTGAGCTAAGAAGCAACATCATATTGCGAAGAACTTATCATTCTGAGTTATTACGATAACAGCTTGTTTTCAGAAAAAATATCATATGAATAATCTTCATTGTCGTAAACGAACCAACTTCCTCCAATGCATTTTTAACAAGCTCTGCTTGTTAACAAGAATATTTTATTGAATTCTTGATAATTGTCAGTGCATAGTCAGCGATAAAGAAGATAAGAATATGAATAAAACTGATAATAATATTGGATTAATTTCCGATGATCCGGAAGGTTAGTACAAAAACTACGACAGCATTTCAGGGTGGTGTATCGACCATGATCGATTTAGGAACAGTCGCCGATACTATTCATCAAGAAAACGATCGATCGTAAACATTCTTCCCGGCAATGCGTATATTAGTCCTATTGCATCACTCTCGTCAGTGTCAAACTTGTTCGTTCATGTTTGTCATGGCTATCCTCTATGTTGTCTTGCGACAGCACATCGAAGCAGGTTTAGACGGTGAAAACGAGATCCAACCGCCCACTTATTCGTCGTCACAAGACTAGAGCGTCATCAGACGAACATGTGCTGGAAAATGATCCATCTTCCAAGCACTCTTTCGGCTTATTGGCAAATCAACCATTCATTCAACAAATCATTCGTAACAAGTTTCGAAACTATACGATCTTAACAATTGCACATCGACTGAACACCATCATAGACAATGATCGTATTGTGATAATGAACAACGGAATCATCACCAACTATGGAACACCACAACAATTATTATTACATATAGATGAAAATCAAGAAGAAGAAAAAGCCATATATCTTTAGTTCCATTAAAATGACATTCGTAATCTTCGCTTTTTTCTTTTCACACTGGATGATACGTAAATCTGGCCGTAGAAAATATCTTAATTACAAGAAAAATATAGAAAGCTTATTTGAGTACAAATGTCCCCGACATTATTTTTAAAATAACAGCAAGTCAGATAAGTTTCAGACATACAATTTTGTGACCAAGCGTAAAAAATTTCAATTTATTATAGTGGAATGAACTGCACTGTGTTCTTTTCCTATCCATTGCCTAATGAAAATAATTGTAATCCGCATACTAAACAACCCACGAAATTACACGAGAGATCGTGACTGTATCTCTGTTTTTCTGCAATAATAATATCAGCTACTACCATTCTACGATTCTGATATTCTATACCTGAGTATGTTTTTGGCAGAAGGAGTGATGCGATATAAACTGCAGTTCTCGTTCTATGATTAACTTGTTCGTTGTGTCAGAAAAAGATTCTTCTGGGAGTGATCTTGATTGACAGTAGATTCCTGTTGCAGAAATTCATGCTTTAAATCTAGAAATACTGATCTGTTTTGAGCATCTTAAAGATTTGTATACTTCTCTTCTGGTTTACCTTTCAATTAGATTTATCATAACGTGCGTAACACTACAATGTCTTCGGCATTCCAGTTCGGAAATACTTCTCAAGCAAATTATATCAAATTCGGAATATTACTTACTGTGCAAGTTCCCTCCGTCATGAGCTTTCTGTGGATATTTCGTCAGTTCGCTCGTAAACATCATCTTCTCAAACAAAACCATCATCACGTCATTCTTCTTCTTTTGATCAATTCATTTCTTTTCGTTACCATTCCATTACCTTTCACTCAAGCGTTTCTCTTCCGATCGTATGTTTACCCTTCGACGCAATTCTTCTGTTCAATGTGGATATGTATTCAGTATTCATTGAACATTGCCAATCTTTTTCTCATGGCATTTGCAAGTATTGAACGTCATTGGCTGATCTTCTATCCTAAATTCATTGACAATCGGCGACGAAAATTTCTTTTTCACTACTGTCCACTTGCATTTTGTTTTTTNTATCTTCAATCTGCATATCTATTACGTATTCATTGAACATTGCCAATCTTTTTCTCATGGCATTTGCAAGTATTGAACGTCATTGGCTGATCTTCTATCCTAAATTCATTGACAATCCACGACGAAAATTTCTTTTTCACTACTGTCCACTTGCATTTTGTTTTTTCTATCCGTTTATGTTCTATGTTTCAGCAATATTTATTCATCAATGTCAACCTTACTATGATTACAATGTGTTGACATGCCTGTGGCCTTGTTATTTTCTGAATCGAATATGGGCTTCTGTCGATCAATACTTCAACACTTATGCACCGCTGCTTTCTATCCCGATATTTTGTTCAGCACTTTATCTCCGAGTTTTCCTTCAAAAACGTACGATGAAACAACAAGCATTCAAATGGTGTCGAGATAAAAAGATGATTTTACAACTATGGGCTATCTCGAGTTTGTATTTAGCTGTGTGGATGCCAATGCAAATATGTATATTTATCAACGTCTATTGGGATCCACTGTTTTTATTACAGGCGCAAATTGATTATATGTATTTATTGCCCTATTTCTTACATTTAATCTATCCTTTCTTTCTGTTGATTATTTTGAAAAAAGACATGATAAAAACTACTCATAATACCATTACCGCAATGGCAATATCAGCTCTAGGTCAGAACATAGGTGGAGACAAATCGGTGCGGATAAAAGGCCGTATGGAGACAATGATGTAAATCAAATGACATTGACTACTGAGTGTTGTTCGTATAAAAACTGTATTTGTAAAAATAAAATCAATTTGTCACTTTAATATCTTAGAACAAGATTCGAGTTGTTAATCTCCGAATTTTGATCACATTCGCTCTAGGCAAACTTTGATGAACTGTATCCACACATTCTAATTATCATTGATTTTGAATCGTTGATGAACACAAAGCCTGGTTTCCTTTTTTGTTTATTTGATTTTTATTGAGAATTGGAAAGACAAATTCATTCGTCATGATCACTTCGAAAGTAATTACATTTTGCCATCTGGATATAAAACAACTTGTTCTTCATAAAAACTGTTTCAAAAGATGCATCAAGTGAAGAATCTATCGTTCCTACCATTTCTACTCAAATATTTCCCAATGTATCTAAGAATTTTAGTGTGTAATTATTAAAGATGATTGAATTTCCAATCTTTGCTGATTAAAAGAAAGAATCAAATTCGGGAACCAACTTAAATTATTCATTTTGCCAATCATTAGATTAAAATACTTTTATGAAAATGCTTTCTCTTTTGACACCAAATACGTCTCTATAAACAGTTTCTCTTCTTATACACATATATCGCATTACGCCATCGATTGGAACGCTATTTTTCACAAGATCTTTTTTTCATTTACAAATCACTTTCGAACTTTCAAAAAACTCTTGATTTCATCAAATACAGCCTATCATCATTACAACCGATATTTTCTGTTACTTGTCAGAGGATTCGATCACTATAATGATTACTTTTTTCTCTTATATTATTTGATCATTGGCTGAAGAGTCTTCGCCGAAGCAAATTTTGAAATTATTCGATCTACCATCACTATCAAACTTTATTTCAACTTTCAAGCGGCATTTTTGTTCGTTTTTGTTTATATTTTGTATCTTATTGTTCTACATCTCATCTTTACACCAACGAAACGTCATTTGTTCAAAAGACAAAAGCACTACTCGATGTGAGGGCTGCTCTCAATCATTTCACTGACCATCGGCAACAAGTCAGTCAGCAACTTGATGAAATTCAAATGACACAAGATCTTTTCCCTCAAACACTCACAGAACACACCAATAGCTCACGAGATCATGCACTCATCAGAAAAACAGCAGAAGAAGCAAGACAACAGGTGCAGAAACATACAAACGTGCTCACATCCGGAATAGAGAAGAAATTAAATGAATTAACAGAATAATTGCGAGAGTCGAACAGAAAATGATTATGTGGAAGAAGATATTCAGTAATGGAGCCGACAATTGACTCAAATGAATGAAGAGTTAGGAAAACTATCAAACATCAAAGTGAAGCAAAGTTCAACACCATTGATAATAATGATCAATGCTGAGATATTTAGTAAGTTGGAATATTCGATGAGGATGAGGGTTAAATCCTTCTTCATAGTTAAATGATTCTCTTACAAATTTAAGTTTTCGTAAAATATTATTTTAATTTTTATAGACATGTTAAATATCCCAAGTATCAATGCAAATACAAAGTGGATACTGAATGGTATCACAGTGGCTGAAGGTAATGGTCAAGGCAATGGAAGAAAGGTGCACGAGAGGTTATTGTTCTTGCAGATGGCAGAGGTAGAGGAAGTAGTTTGTCGCAGCTCTCTTATCCTTAGGGGAATTGTCGTTGATCAATTAGGAAGTGTTTATGTGGCAGATCTTCTGAATCATCGAATAGTACGATGGTGTGCGGGTTCACGAGAACCGGGAGTGTGATTGTTGGTGGAAATGGGCAAAGGCAAGGAACAAATCAATTGAGTTGGCCTACAAGTTTGTTTTTCAGCGAGGAAAACAATTTATATGTAACCAGTTATGATGGTCATCGAATCCAAAAGTTTAATTTTTTACTCATCGTTCACCTATTGTCAATTGATAAGATGAGATTCATATCTACCTAATTAGTGATCGATATGCTTCATTATCTCTTTTATCACCTATCTGCTAAACAGAAAAAGTCAAACTAACTGAGAACTGAAAGCCCAATGCCGTTGATGTATTAAAATCAAACCAGACACGCAAAATATGATTGAAAGTTGTACAAACTATCAGTATTAACTTGGTCTATCCAATCACAAGGTTTCAAATCTATAACTACTTCCATCGTTGATTTTGTAGTCGAGTGAAAGTTTTGAGACACTTCTTAGTAAAAAAGTAATATTATCATTTGCGTATTGAACTCATCGCCGCGTAGACAAGAGAATACATTTAGTTAAAAGAAAAATTTTTCATTTTGAAACAGTTAATGTAGATTCTCAGTAAATTTCGATTTTCTTATGGGTTTCATCATACTTAATTCTTGTGAAGTTTCATAAAAATTTTACTCGCCAATCTTGATTTACTGCCTCGACCATCAATGAAAGTAGCTATATGGTTAAAAATTTTCCATTTAATAATTCTATAGTTACGGTCAACAACATGTACATGTTCGGAAAAGAATTTCTTTTCAATGTATGGGAAAACGAGAAAATTTAGTTTGTATTTTTTTCTAAATATGAAAAGTCTACAATAAATGAATGAATCAACATCACACTAGAGTGATATTTTCAAATTTTGTTTTCAAAAGATAAACTAATGAGGAAAAAAGAGAACGAGTTTTATCCAAACATATTTTGCTTAATTTTTTCAATTATTATCGAACATTGCATGTTTTCTCTTTTTCAATTGTTGAAAATGATTTCCTTTGTGAGGGTTTTTTTATGTGCCACGGATGAATATCAGCAGAGCGAGATTCGTAGTGTGATAATAAGAGCATCGTTGCAGATGGAAAAAGTGAATTGCGTCCTTTTTGCAGCGGGATACGTCAGCTAGTATATATTAAAGAAAAAAAATATATGCCTGTAGATTCTGTCATTATCCTTGATTATTTACGAATTAATCAAAATTATTTTGCAAAGAGTTTATCAGATAACTTTAAGAAAAACTTAACAGTCAAGCGGTTAACCATGCTTGGTTTTGTTTATATATATAATAATCACATAGGCATCTAATTGTCTAGCGAAAAAAGTTATGCTTCAACAGGCCGTAGAATATTCGAAATATCATTCTATCACCTTGAATAGAATAATACTATTTGTATCACAGTACTTTTTTTCTTTCTCTCTCTATCCGTACGTCATCCGGATTATATACACTTTGATTGATATCTCGGTCATGTATTTTTATCTATATTTGAAAAGTTGATTTTACAGTACATCGATTACTGATCAACGGTGTGACTTGAAATAAACATATTACTGATCGTTTGGACGCACATCAAGCACGTCGTCAAATAACCTATTCAGGTGCTGATACATTCCGGATTAAATACCCTAAAACGACTATTGTATGATATTTTTTGAGTAATTGCTATAACACTATCATTTATATTGCTCTTCTCGTGAAAGTTAAACACGACATATAAGTAATACGATTAATTTTAAACTTTAGCGAGATAAAATCATGGCATAATGGCTTTGAATCAAATCAAAGAACATCTAAACAGCTAATCTTTATAAGCATAAATGGAGCATATGCATTTCTGTATATTATTCAGAGAGTCTGGATTAGAATGGCTCATTTTTTCTATCTACAATTTGATTGTTGTTGACAGTTGTAATCTTTCATAATCAGATCGGAAATGTTTGTCTGTTAAAACTTGTTTTGACCAATGAATCCGTTGAATACATAATCGAATATCAAAAATGACTAACGAAGAAAATTAATCGAAATTCGTTCTCTCTTTTCTTAAGTTACATCAATTTTCTACATTATATACTTGTGCAAGGTTATCCTACGTAGTGGTTAATGTCGATTTTTGTCGTCGGCGTATATTAAGGTTTGTATGTAGATTTTTTCCGTCGTTTCCGATTAGTATATCACGACGAAGCGCCGTATAAGTGAAAAAATACGATAAATGTCTTCGTGCTAATTAATCGATTTTATCAAATGTTGACAGTTGCACAATAACAAAAATAACCTACTATTCAAATATGCTCTCACAGTACAAAGCCTTGGAATATGTCGAAAAGAATGACTGATCAAATGCACAATCTATTATTCTCTGAAATTGCAAAAATATTCAAATTGGTCTTGGGGGGAAAAAGAAAAATGAAGGTTTGCCTTTGACGTAGGTGAAACAAATGCCACTGTCACTTACTGTGATTTAGCCCGTCCAAGGATACTTCTCACCCCTCACCGAACGGTGAATATAAATTAACGGTTCGATTGCAGAGATTTCACACAAATATCTTATCTCTAATCGCTCGACAACTATACCGATCAAATGTGCCAGCTTAGTCAAAAAATGGTTTCGGTGATGCTGTTATTATTCGCGGTATTAGTATTCTTCGGAGAAGAAGGTGTACAATCTGCTGCAGTTTCAAAACGAGAAATCGATCGATCCCTTCGTCGCTTATTTATCAATCGTGGTACTGATATTGTTGATGATAATAACGATGTTATTGGCGTTGTCGGTGGCGTTCTTGATGATAAAAATGATGAAGGGGTTGAAAAATGTGCTGAAGCCGGAACACCTTGTGGCCGTCGTCACAATGGTCGATTTGTTTCTCTTGCCGACTGTTGTAATACGTGTGTTCGTGTTAATAACAAATATCGATGTAGTTAAAGCTGGTACGTTAACACTGTCTTCGTTGATACCCTATAAGTTCTTTCTTTTTTGTAGCAAATAGAACGACATGAATAAAGATATGCAACAATAACAATATAGTACTGCATTGAACTATTATTGACATAATCATATTTTCTTGTTCACTTTTCGCTTACGATCCTTTTCAAAAGTTTTTCTTATTAGAATAAAACATATTATTAGAAATAGAACGTAACTTTTTGTATACACCCAACATTGAAAACTTTCGATTTTTGTGTCGTTGGTGTTTTGACATCAAACGTAACATGCTTTTAAATGAGATTTTTAGAGCATAATTTCGACTTCGGATGGTTACATGGGATTTCAACAACAAGATTTTTCTTTGATTAATTATAATAATCTCTATGGGGTTGCCGAAGACAAAGAGGCACAGTACAGACAGGAGTAATCGTATCTTTTCTTCGAGTAAACTCGATGGTCTTAATGAGTGTTTTCAATTTTGACACGATCACGGTACGTAGTGTAGTGGCCATAGAGCAGAATTCGATGCATTAATATCATTTTCATTTGATATCGATTAAATCCATGACAAGGATTTGTTCTGTAAAGAGATGAACAATGTTGTCTCTTTACTGCAGATGTATAATTGTCAAGCAGGTTTTGTAAAACGTTCATTTGCAGTTCAATTCAATTGACTGATCGCATATCTCTCTTCAATGTTTCCAGGGAAGTAGTTTTAATATTGATCATTTGCTCAATTGTATCTTTTTAGGTCAAGTTTATCAACATAAAGGAGAAACTGTCGAGCAGAAACGAATCCAACATATGAAATCTGTTTTCGTGGACATTTTGTAATCAAGTGATATTTTGACATGAATCAAGGGGTATAAACAAGACTTTCCTTATGGCGACGGTACTCTAGATATTCATTTTCCAGGCATATTATATAGTTTAACTAAAACTCGCGGAGATTATAATCTGCGGTTCTTCTCAAAGTAATAGACGAACAATAGCGTGACTCTTTTCAGTGAGCTTTTTTCGAATGTGAAGATTACCGAGCGATCTTTATTTTGAAATAACACATATTCGCTCAAAAACGAACACCAAACCAAGCTGGATATCAACTGTATACACCTTCTCCTTTTAAAACGTGAAACATCATATATCGATCTGCAGTAAATCAGTGTACATGCCAATGTGGTATACTTCCTATACTACCATCACGAAAAGACAAAATCACCAAATAATAACTATAACTTCCAAATACAGATTGATTCACAACTACAACCGATAATGTCTCGTCCTCACTACAAGCTTCACCCTTATATGAACATCCTTGTTGTGATAGCATGACTTTATATATAGCAAAATAGTTCAAGATTATTTTTATAAAAAAAAGCCATTAAGATTCTGATACCATACGGCAGGGAATTCGATAAATAATATGTACTATACTTCCGTCGGTAATGTTGTAATCACTTAATAACTTTGTTGAATCAAGTTTGCGGCCAGCGAATATCAGACGTTGTTGATCCGGCTCAAGACCAAGTGTATTCTTAATCTTAGTTTTCAATTGTTCGATTTTATCTGAACATTGAGCTTCGAATGCGACTTGATAGCCATCCAATGTCTTCAAAATAACTTTCATTGTTTAATAACTTCTTCGGCAGTGATTTCTTGATGTTTTACTTGCAGAGAGTTTCGTACTTTTATTTAGAATATTGTTGGTAATTTTATTTGTCCTTTTATACTTTTCTTCACATCTCACATCAAAATAGTCAGAAGAAAAAAAGGAATAAACCCACATAAATGAAATGGTAACATGCGTATTTCATCGATTACGTCACTTTTGCAAAAAAAAAGGTGTCAACATGCTTACTTGCTGTCGTTCAGACCATGGCATCACAAAATGAGGATAGTGATGCTTAGCTTGAATGTTCTAAAGACTTTACACGTACATTTCATATAGTTCAAAATGCTCCGTGAAGGGATTATTAATCTTGAATAAATAGTCTCGACATTTACATTACATTTGAACATAACGCTATAGATTTCATTTCTCAAATGAAATTCTATAACACTAATCGACTAAGCAGAGTGAAACGAACGTCGACTTAGTCTAATAGAAAATATTTTCATTAAAAATTCTTAAATTACTGTGTCTCGATCAGTGCCGTTGCCGTCATTGTAATCAAATTGGAAAATACCGTCTTGCTTCGCCTATGAATTCAATAACACTATTTCTGTCGGAGAATTGGAATCGAATTCAAATCTTCATCCTCGTTATTGTCTGGTCGCTGTCTGCATTTTAGGCAATATCAGTGTAGCGTGTACTTCCTTGGCGTATCCGCCGCTAATTTCAAACTAAAAAGTACATTCATCGTATTCTGTAAATGTCGAACTTATATAATTCAATTGTCAGTGTTTGTCGGTCGATATGTTTAGTGTTCGATATCGATTGATTGATGGATGAGTTCGCAGACCGTCGCCAAACGTATTACTATCGAGAATGAGCGATTCGACCCATATTTCAGTGATGCTTGTGCAATCTTCTTCGCCATTTATGGTGTTCTGATTATCTTTTTGCATGTACTTACTCCTTAGCGCTAAAGAGTATATTCGTCGAAGTCGTGTTCGCGTCAGTCCAATTCACCTTGAAATCATCATGGGATCATACAAACCAAGAGACCGGCAGCTTATTCGATTAATTTTCAGACAAGTTGTAGTATTCATAATATACTCATTATACCATACGGAATCTATAAGTTATATAATCTAGTATCAAGTTTCCAAATGAAAAGTGTCGATCAACGTGCAATTAAAGGATTTGTCAACGGTATTCTTTTGACATTGAATTGAAGGTCATTTTGATTTATTGGTCTCTTGAGATTTATTTAGATCCCGTTTTACACGTACACATTAGCATCAAGGATCTTCCGTGAAGAATGTATTGACGCCGCGATTCGCGCTCGTACAGCTGTTTGTCGACGATTTCCAAACTTAGAGTGCAGTTTTTTATTTTTGTTCTTCTTTACAAAAGTTATTGCGTAGTAGCGATTCTTCTTACATTAGTAGACAACCTTCAATGACAATTGACATTGAGTATGCTTTCTTTCTTTCGAAAGAAAGAAAAAGAATTTACTGATTGCCGTTCTTGCATTTTCATACTCTAAAAGTTGAAAGCTAAGTCAACAGATCCAGAAGCAAGCATGTATAGCTGCGCAAACTGATCATCGATATCATTCGATTCCAATATCCAATAAACTGTCAGGATCATCACACACTCACCCTCACGCCGAACCAGTTGAAGCAAATACAAGTGCTTATCCGGAAATTCAAACTATACCCTCACCCACACACGAAGAACGTCTGACTCGTTGATGTATTTTTTATATAGGCATTAATAAAAAAAAGGATAGATGTACACTTAAAATAGATGAGGAATCAATTTCGCTGGTACTTTTTGTGTATACTCAGCGTAAGTCGTTCCAAAATGCTCTCGTAATTCTTTTTCTTCAATGTATATGCGGTATAAAAATATCAATGTTGGTGGTATCACAATACCAAATAAGCCAAGCCAATTATTGATCAACAATCCTAAACCAATGAGTACCATCAGAACGCCAGTGTAGGATGGATGCCGCATTTTTGCATACCATCCCGATTGAATCAATGGCTGTTTGTCATTGACACGAACTGTCATGGTGAACCATTCGCCAAGTTGTTGAATAGCTTGTCGTCTTATTAAATGGCCAGTCATGATTAGAGTGAAACTAATTGGAAATGCAACGATACATCGTGAGAAAGTACCAGAGAAGATCTTTAGACCATATTCTAGACGGACAAAATGAATTGAAGCACCCATTGAGCAAATGACGATAAGCCAGATGAAATGAAATGTTCCATGGTCTTTTGATTTTGAATGTGGATCTGTTTTGCCAGATGATATTTTCGAAAATTGCTTAAACAGTTCAAGGAGAAACCCTGGAATTCCTAAAGCAAGAAAGAGTATAAGATCGAAGTCAAAGGCCATTTTGTTTGACGAACTTTGCTTCGGGGTAAAGATAAACAGTAATATTTCTGTCTGTAGTTTACCACACTACATTCTTTCATGTTCTATCAGTAAATAGATGTCAGGCAAATAACTCGATGAAATATTAACATTAAATAGTATGCAAATTTTATACGTATATCAACGAGAAAATATTCATATTCAAATGGTTCACTAATAGAAATGCATTAAGTTCTGAAATTTCTTCACCCTGATCGATTGCACACACGCGCAAGTCTTCGTATATAGTGTGTCATCCACAGTTAGTTAAATGAAAACACTCGTTTGATGTTTTTCTTAGTTTTATCGAATAAAAAGTAATGATTAAAACTCTTGCGGCCTTATCAACTCGTTTGTTGATCAGGTGAAGTATATTGACAATAGTCAAATACGTCCTGTGTGTTTTTTACATCACTGCTATAAAAGAATCGGACTCTTTATATCCGTAGATTGAATTCAACCATCAGTTAAAGGAGAGAAAAGTCTGATAGCGATTATTTCTTGTGCATTCGAAGGTAAAGCAACTGTCAGGTACATAAAAAATGATTTTTCTGAACAAATTGAGGCTTTCGTCAGGATTGTATCTATTTCATCAAAGAGCCGTTGGGTAGCATGTTCGGTTTTATATCACATCGTTAAAGAGTCATAAATTTTTGTCGATAAATACGTCTATTAACTGTTTCATTTTTATTTCGAAGTCTTAGATGAGAAGTTGATGTGAGAAGGATTTATTTTCTAGATGGAACATATCGAAGACGGCATTGAACCAACTCGCATCGAAGGCTCATGCGATTTGAAATTGGATGATCTGAAATGTGGAATATGTGAAAAGATTGTTTGGAATGTAGTGACTTGTGAAAACTGTGGAGCACTCTTTTGTTCCGCGTGTGTTGCAAATGCATCGGATCGCTCGTCAAACGAATGTGTCAATGGATGTCGTTCATTTGTCGAAGCGAAAGTCCATCGATTTATAATCGAACAACTATCTCGATTGAAAATTGTATGCTCTAATCAACCACGTGGATGTCTTGCGGTAAGTGTGCATAGTGCGTGTAGACGTGTTGCAACATGATTTCATTGTAGATCGTTCACTACGATGATCTCGAGAAACATGAAAAGGAGTGTGGATATCAACAGGAAGAATGTTCTGGTTGTCATAAGTTACAATTGATCAAAGATTATACAAATCATCTCGAAACATGCCTTATGATCGCCGTTGCATGTCTAAAATGTCATCTGGCTATTCCGCGGGGTGATCTACTGTTGCATACAGAATGTCGATGTCTCATAGAACAATTGAGAAACGATTTAAATGAACATAAGCTACAAACAGCTGAACAGTTCAAACAAATTCAAGAAGGTTTGAAGCGAAACGATGAACTGCAACAACTTCGAGATGAATTTGAAGAATTTCGACGACAAACTGGAGATCAAATAAAACAAATCGTAGAGCTCAATTATCGTTTACAAGAAAGATTCGAAATCAATAAACAACAAACAAACGAACAAATTCACCAATTGGAACAGAATCTTCAACAACAACAACAACAACCTGACACGAAAGTACAAAAAGTACTCAAAACGCTCGACCGTAGATATTCGTACACATTATAGCATTCAGTAATCATTTTCTTTTGTAATTTAGTCTATAAGAAAGCTGACATTCGGTGTTCATGCGGTGGTCGATTTTGTCAACGTTGCGGCGGTTGTCGCGATTGGAAACGCAACGGCAAGGACTGGAAACGCGTTAGTAATGGTTGCCGTTTTCACCCGAACACTGACGCTGGTGATGTTTGCCAATGCGTCTAAAACCTTCTCGACGAATAAAACTTTGAAACTATCAGTTTTAATCTATAACAAATACTAATCATTTAGTGTAGAGTTGATATTTTTTTAATTGATTTATTTCCTTCAATATATTTCAAAAATAAATCCCCAAATATTTAGTATTAAAATCATAAAGGGTGATCGATGCAATCGGCTTTTTTATTCTGAAGACCTATATGACATCGAGAGAGCAAATATGTTTTATATGTTCAGTGGCTTAACACTGAATGTTCGGATTGATACGCATGATTTGGTTATTAGCGCAATCGGATAAATACATAATATAGTTATCGACGATTTTCATGAACGAAACTGCTAGGCTTGGAATTGTATAGTTACCTAAAAGAACTCCTTGTTGATCAAAAATATAAATAGTGTTCGTTTCTTGAGGAACCCACAATCGACCGCATTCATCAATGACTATACTAGTAGAACCACCGGAAGTCGTAAGCATGGATGCATTGACGATTAATGCTTCATTCCATTGACCAGCAGTAGTATTCTTGCTATAACCAAAGACTAGCTTTTGAGTGTACGATGTCACGTAAAAATAGGAATCATTGACATACCATACACCATGCGGACTGAGATTATTAACAACTTGAGAGTAAGTGTAAGTGTATTGAGGTGGTACAATACTCGTCCGATTGAAAAACAAAAGAGTTTGGTTTTTATTCGAAGTAACCATCATTGTTTGACTTTTGTCCAAAAATAAGATACCTCGCGGATCTTTAATCAATGCCATAGTTATGTTCGACACCGGCGCAAGTGTTGTACTGTTAATGACATGCATAAGAACTCCAGCATTTGGAGTAGAGTAAAATACACCTTGGTCATAAGCTACTGCCATTTGATAGTAACCTGGAATAGCAGTACGACTAATTGAACTTAGATCTGTGGCACTAAATCGATGCAGATAATTTAGCGACATTTCTACTGTGACTAAATAGCCGGAATCATCGATGAGCATATCGCGAGGATTGGATATGTTGGCGAGAGTCATGCTTGCTGATTGTAATTTGTTTAGTAGGAAGTTTATATCCGGCATACAACATAAACTTGCATTTGGATATGTTTTTTGCGGAAAGTAAAGACGAGCTGCAGTCATTGACCGAATGCGATAGGTTGGTGGAAAACTATAGAACACCTGGCAAGTCCCATTAGGAAACCAATTCACTGCAGGATACGATAATGAGGATGCGCACAGACATTGACTAAAGGTTTGATTGCTGATTGTCGTACTATTCGAAGTATATCCTGGTTGTAGAAAAACGTTATTGATATGAGGAATTTGATGAGGTTTGACTGAAGTTATCGCCAAAATGACACAGTAGACGGTCAGGTGTGCCATCGCGCACAGTTGTGGGATATCTATGAAAAAGAATCTATTCTATTCTTTAGTTTAGAAAAAAAACGAACGGCAGAGTGAGAAAGAAGTTAGATACGTTTCACGTCTCAATAAAATAATGATTGAGCATGAACGGGTGCTCGATACTCATTAAAATATATTTCTCAAGTATTCAATAGCGAATTCAACATCATTATATCATGTCCGAAATCAATTTCGCCACAGCATTTACTTGAAGAATGCTCAATTCAAGTGGGAGAGACACTTTTTCTTTCAATGTGACGCATTACCGACACTTTACGGAGTGTGGGATGAAAGTTTTGAAATATTTTTTTTTCATCTAGGGCGATAGTAACTCGTATACATTCAACAATAATTTTTTTGCTATTTATGTTTAAACAAAACATGCACTTTATCGTACATCTATCGATATTAGTTATCTTATTGCTGTATAGTATAATACTGTTATGCGGATTGTTAATAAAAAGTAATGTGCTTCAAAGTATGTTTATTCAAATGATGTTCAAATTTATTCTATTTTTGGGTTGTTTTCATTGCAAAATAGAAAAAAAAACCACTACGACAGTTGAGGTATGGTGGTTATTGTTAATGGAACTTGGTCAGGATAGTCCCCTGTCAACCATGAAATGTATATCAGTTCATCACCGATAAGAATAGGGCAGAATGGAATTGATATTTTGCTATCGACTGTGGTAATATTAGTTCGGTGAAGAATTTTACCCGTATCAACGTGTACAGCCATGAGAAAGAGTTTGAACGATGTTTTGGTTGATTGAACTAACACATAAAGAACACGAGTATGTTCGTTAAAGGTTGTGCATTCGGTCACGAGATCAAACTCATTCATTTCAGTCATCGTCACTAATCTTATTTGCCAACGAGAAAGACCTGTCGTTGCATCGAGAGCAATTGTTTGAGGTAAATTAACAAAATACACAGCATTATTTTGATTGTCCATCACAGGTGGTGTACAGTCTGTGTTCACATTAGAACTATTAGTATTTTTCCATTGCCAACGTTCGTGCAATCCAGTGTTTTCGACATTCCATCCTGAAACAACAAGAGGCCAGTCATGATCGGATAAATTTTGCCATGCTCGCACTACGATTTGTTCTTGACTATTCAATGCAAAGTGACGATTACCACCGGAATTGGTATCATTGATAAACGCACGTGTACCATTTGTATTCATCTTGTACATATCATCACTGCCGCTAATCCAATAGATATCGCCTGTAAGTGGATCTGTTTTGTAATCAGCTGAAGCATCCGAACCCATAGCTTCTGCATCAGTCCAGATCATTTCAAACGTTGTTGTATTGAAAGCGGCTGGTGAATTTTCAATGACAGTAGTGATGAGAAGATCTGCTTTGGTGTTCAATGCAAGCGGTGCTAAGTAATTCGAACTGATTCGATATGTATCGAGACATTCTTGAGCAGGATGATGAGTATCAGGATAAAAAACTCGACATATTTTCGAAACGAATGTTCCACTGTCCGCCCACGACGATGTGTAATATAGAAGATTGTTTTTCTGATCCGAAACAATATTAGACACTCCGACATTAATCTTAAATGAAGCAGATTCAAGATGCATTTTCCATCGAATCTCTCCGTTTGGTGTGAGACACAGCATATAGTCACCTAAGAATATCAAATGATATATTTGAAAGAAGCAAGATCAAATATAAATACCGGAGGAGTATGGAGAGTCAGTAATGAATAGATACAGATCACCGTTGGTGCCAGCAGCACTACCAAATACTGTCTTATCTTGTGTTGACGAGTTAAAAAATAATGTCCACGTTGTGCCGTTGTATCCGGTGGGTATTGACGGAATCAATCGACGCGTATTTCGAACATTACCCATCGATGTTGTCCAGGACAGTTCATCACTTATTTCTGCGTTTATTTCAATAATCAATACAAGTAACAACGTGAGAACAAGACTGCTGGATGACATTTTTGTGTTATGGAAGCAAGAAGAGAACGTTTTACTTACTTTTTTATACGCAAATAAACGCACAGGTGCCAGTATTATCATTATTATTTTGAAAATCAAATTCACAATGAAATATCATATGAATTTTCTATAGAATGTATCGACTCGATAATCCCTGTCCTTGTAAAGTACATAGTACAAAGGTTAATCAGACGAATAGAATATGTTTTCTATCACTGTAGTTTCATTTAAAAGCCTTAGTGCACTATTTGACTATGAAATACCGAAGACTGATTTCGTTATCTATTTCATTTTCAATAGAGACGGAAAAAAACTTCTTCCTGCTATTTTTTTCAAAATGGTTATTGTATCACTTGTAACCAACCACGTTGAAATTGATTGAAACATAGAACGATGAGTCAACAGCAATCAATGTAAATTCATCGACAATACTGACAAATGCATCAATCTAAACTGTGAATTCACTATGTAGATCAATATAGAATTCATTTACTATAAGTGATCTGATATTTTTTGCGTAGTACTATTGATCATTCCACACATTCAATTCGAGTGATCGACTATTCTATTAACTATGTTTGCCTTCAGAGTTGAAGGATAGTATTGACATGAAAAGTATACATAATTTTCTTTTTTAAGCGAACAAAAATATGATTCTATTTTTCTTAGAGGATCAACGAGACAGTTTCCGCTGATTTTCTCATCTAAAATTCAATGTTTGTGTAGTATACGTTCATGTTTCCTATTGAAGTCGGTGCGATGTCGTTTTATTTTTGAGAACTTGATAGACGATGGAAGGACGTGCAAGTTTGACATACAATCCGATTCTGCATTTAATCATTTTCACCACAATTCATGCGTATATAAGTAATTAAACTGATTAGTATATTTTTATTTCTTTTACATATGTACATTTATACAGCTCCATCCTATAATCAACCTTATTTGGGTCTATGCCCAACGTGGTCTAACAGTGGCATTACATTTGTTAGCAATAGCGTGTTATCTGGAGAGCCTAGACGACTATTTATTAACACTGAGAATTCCATATACGTTTCTGTTGACGCTGATCAAGTTTTAGTATGGTCTGAAGGAAGTAATACAGTGAATCTCAACATTTCGAATAATGTAACCGGTCCTTTTGGTATTTTTGTCACTATCGACGGTTATATATACATTGCGAATAGTGTTCCAAATCGTGGAGTATTTATATGGTCACCAAATGGAACCAATTCTACAAAGGTGATGCCAAATACTAAGAAATGCAGCGCCCTTTTTATAGATATTAACAACACTCTATATTGTTCGTGTGATATAGAAAATCAAGTGCTAAAAATCTCACTGGAACCTGGTTCACAGAATCAAACTACCGCAGCTGGTAAAAAGAATGTTAACGGATCTACATCGGATCTACTCAATAGTCCTATCGGAATCTTCGTTGATAGAAACTTAAGTTTGTATGTAGCTGATTCTGATAACGATCGGATTCAAGTTTTTCTGTGGAATGAATTAAATGGAACAACTATTGCGGGCACTGGTGCATCAGCAACCATAAACCTTAAAGGCCCGTCAGATATTGTACTCGACGGAGACGGCTATTTATACATAGCTGATACTGGCAAAAGCCGTATTGTTGCATCAGGGCCTAATGGCTTTCGATGTATCATTGCTTGTCAAGTTGGTATGGGCTCAGCTTCTTATCAACTGCATGGTCCCTTCAGTCTCAGTTTCGATACTTACGGCAATATATATATTAGTGATCGATCTAATTATCGAATTCAAAAATTCACCTTTATAAACCAATCTTGTGGTGCGCTTCTGAATGCATGAGATAATTAATTTGATATTGTTCCTCTTTTTTTGTAGATAACACGACACCCATTGACAGCAGAACTACTTCAAGCACAGACACCGGTAAGATTGTGCTTGGCATTGCCTGTTCAGTTTGTTTACGATAACTGACCCTTTTACAGTGACAGTATCAACAAATAGCGTTACATCGATCAGTACATCAGCGTTAGTCCTCTCGACGAGTGTAGCAGTAACAGATGCTACATCAACGATGACCACAACGACGAGCCCGTCATCATCAATACCAACTACATTAGTCACGTCTTTTCTACCAACAACCGTTTCAAACCATGTAGATACGAGTACTGTTCAGCAAGGTATAAATACATGCTCTCGTATCAAAAAATCGAACAGCTTTTCTAACTTTGACTCAAAGGTACATCATTCGCATCATTGTTTACTCCGTCTGTATGCGCATCACCGACAGTAATGGGGCCTAATTGTAGTTTATCTACTCTTTCATGCGATAGTCTTCGACCTTGCTACAATAACGCCACCTGCATGAACGATAATACAATGTTGTCTGGCTACACTTGCAATTGTTTACTAGGTTTTAACGATACCAATTGTCAATACGATTATCGACCTTGTCAACCAGATACTTGCTGGAATAATGGTATCTTCATCAATGAGCGCGATTGATCAAGATCTGAATTTAAGTTTGTTTTTTTTTCGTAGGTATGTGTAACCAAACATCAAACACAAGTTTTATCTGTATATGTGCAAATGGTTGGCAAGGTGAACACTGTCAAACAAAGGTAAACTATTGTGAAAATATTACATGTTTCAATAATGGTGTTTGTAAAACCTTATCACAAAACTACACATGTCAATGTATTGGCGATAGTTATTTTGGTCGACATTGTGAGCGCACATCGAGTAAAAGAGTTCTTCAACAATCAATCTCTAGATCATTTGCTTATGTAGCTATCATCGCTATAGCAATTGTTGCACTGTTTATTATTATTATGGACGTATCGACATACGTTTTTGGTATCGACCCAGTTAAATCAGTACGTCGCGAACTCCGTCGACGACCGAAATATAAAACAAAAAAGAAAGAAAAAAGATTTATTGTAATTCAACGACCTATCTACGTTGCATGAAACGATGAATGAATCTTAAGGTTTTGCTTCTGGAAGTCTACATGCGAAGTAGAAATAAACGCAAGCCCATTCTACTACATTTATTATTTATTCTTATGTGTGTTTTTTATTCACATCGATTAGAATATATGAGATCTTAGTAATTTTAAACCAAGCATATCGAACTTGTAGTTTGATTGATCCTCATCGTTCTCGAAACTATAACTAATCCATAAAGTATATCGGCAAACCCACATGCACAAAGCATCGATGCATCTCTTCATCATGTAGTGTTCTATTTGATTTGTTTGTCTTTCTGTGTAACAACATTCTATACCACTAGTGAGTATGAAAATACTCAGACTACATATCCATCTATGTCGTAAAAAAATATGCGACAGAACGATACAATGTACAAGTTTGTCGAAATTATACGAAAGAAAGAAAGGAAGCAATCAGTTTATTGGTATAGCTTGATTGATCTTTAAAACGCAGATCCCTATACCATACTTAGCTGTTGCCCCGATTTCGATGCCATAAACAGCATCCTCATCTTATCCTAAGCTATTTCAACAGAGAGCAACCCATTCGGTGGTAATGGTCGATGGTTTTCTTTATTAATACAGATGAAATAAAAGAATAAGTTAAAAAGATTGACCCCGCGCAAAAGTTTGGCTGAATGAACTAGGTATAACGTACTTCACCTTTTGGTTGAGATCCTTTCTCGTAATTCTCTATCGAACGTTACAAATGCTCTATATGGTAAGAAAATTCCATGTAATTCCTTCATTTCTTCTTTAACTACTTGATATGGACTATTCTCGTTCATCAATTGTTGATAATAATCACATAGGACTCGTCCGTTTGGATTTCTATCTAGCAATTGTAGCATTTCAGCAATCTGCTTATCATGAAAGAAGTTACGAACATCTTCGTTAGTCCAATCTAAGACTTGCTTATTTTCATACGTAGCATCGGAAGTTCCATCATTTGTGCTTGATTTTGTTTGGGTTTCAATCGTATCAGACGTTTCATCGAGAAGACTTGATTTTTTATTCGTTTGTTTGATGCCTGTTTGTGTCACAGGTAGTGATGGATTGTTCTTAACTTCCATGGCTTTTTTCTGAGATTGAGCTACTGAACTTGAATTAGATGCATTTACAGGCTTTGGTGCTTCTTTCGTTTCTTTGTATTTTTTATCGTATCTTTCTAATTGTCTGATTAAGTCTCCAAATGCTCTTTCAAAATCATATTTGACGAAGTCGACATAAAGACGATCTCCAACAATAAGTTTGAGCCAACCATTAGGACGATAGTTGGCTTCCATTCTCAATGGAATTATTATTCGTTTCAAATCATTCGCGTACGTACATTCAGCTTGACAATTGGGACTTTCTTTGTACGCATTCGAATAGCAAACAAGAATAATTCGTGAATGTTCAATTGCCTCCGACATGCGTTCCGTTAAGGAGCCATACATTTGTTCCGTATCGATCCAAATACGTGCATTCGTTTCCATTTTCAACTGTTTGTGAATCTGCGTGCATAAAGTCGAATCTTTATGACAATAACTGATCATCATATCAAATTTATAATCTTTTGATTGCTCCATAGCTAAACGCTGTTCTTTCGTTATCTGCTTTCCTGTGCTGTCTACTGGTACACCAAAGACACTCAATTTCACCGGCTTAGCAGCTTCATTTCGTTTCTGTTCTTCAACTACCTTTTGTTTCATTTGCCAATCGATACCCTCAGCAACGCGTTTTAGCACATGTTTATCAGGATTGTCAGTACCTGATTTGGTCAAATCAACAACATAATCGACAAAAACTTTATTAGCTCGGAGTAGTTGAGCAGCTGACAAATCAAAGATGATCGACCATATTAATTCCATCGAGGGATATTGAACGGAAGCCATATCGAATCGTGTCTCTGTCGCACAGGTTGTTAAAAGAGTTAAACCGTCTTGAGCCACAACTTCAGCTTTGACTTGTTCATTTTGTACAAAGACTATTATGGAAATTTCCGGTATAGAACATGAATATTTTGATTCATCTACTCACTTTTTAAATGTATGATCGTATCACTCAACCGAACTTTCTGAAACGACTGACTTTCCGTTTTCACTGCTTTTGAAATACAATTAACATACGAGGTGGCGATCTCCTTTGGTTCTTCTAAACGATCCATATCGTTGTTCATCAACGCAATTAATGTTTCACAATGGAACTTTGCGGTATACATGTTGTTTTTCTTGCAATTTTTAAGTAACACACGAATAATTTCTGGCTTTTCTTCGTCACTTAACCCTCGGAGATAATCAACAACACAGGATTCGACCGATAAATTGTATAGTAATTCAACAGCAGCTAAAACTAATTCAAAATGTTTTTCTGGCACTGTACTATCCACAACTTTTGATCCAAAACGTGCATTGTAGTCAGTTACATTTTTAACAAGCAATGGTAAATGGAGTAAACGAAAAAGATTCTCAACCAATACTGGATTCTGACGAGCACAACGACGAAAATAGATCGATGGAATGCAGTAATTCATTAATTTCAAGAACCGTACTATCACAACCGATAATGTGAAGTCTTTGGGTTGTTTTTTAAAAAAGTGATTAAATAATGTATAGCTCCATCCAAATAATGCTTGACAGAATGTGTCTAGTTGTGGTTTCGTCAATGTTGGCAGATGAATTTCATTGCCCTCCATGAGTAGATATTCAGGAAATATATTTAGAAATACACGATGTTTCGCATCTCCATCAACTCGCGAGGTGAGTCCTTGGTCGTCGTCGTAGAAACGTTTAAGCTCTTGCTCATAGTAATTTAGTATACATTGTAAAATCAATGGAGTAGCGACTGGATAAAGTTTTTCATAGATTTCAATATATCTGGATTTGAACTTTTCGATCGTGTAAATTTGGTCAAACAGCATTGCCAATATCGCATAACGAAAATCATCTGGTGAATATTGATTGTCTCGTACGCTTGTTAAGCATTCTTTGAGAGCCGACAAAAATTTGTCATTGAATACAAATGGAATGTCAAATGTCTCCAAGATTGAATATATTGAATAGAAGCAACGAAATATCACATCTTTAGTTGAACTGTTTTTGTGACCAGTTATTTTTACCGTCTTGAGCAAAAGGTCTTTTAATTGTCCAAAGAATGGTTGCGAAGCTAATGGTGGATTACATGGCATACGTTCAAGCTCTTGTCGATTTGATTTCAAAACTGATTGTAAACGCGTGGTTGTATCGATCGTTGATTCGCTAACACCCACCTTTTGTATTGTTAATCGACAAAATTCAAATGCAGCTTGTACTTTCTCGAATCCTTTTACGTCTTGAGAATCATATCGATAAGTACGTAGGATTTTATATGCAGTATCAAGATCTTCTATGTTTGAATGTTTATCCATCGAGAACGTAAGAATTAAGATTTCAATGGATTTTCTCAAATAAGAATCTTTACTCACAAAACAAACTATTTGTGAAAGAATTAAGCGAACAGCATCGTTGTTTTATGCAGTGTGTACTTGGAAACTTTATTTTGAGGCTATATATATAGATTTTTCTCTGCTTTTCTTTCTTTTACGCATTTCATTTTCATCGATCCATTTTAAAAAATTTTCCTTTTTCCCTACTTCAACCACTATGTTTATCTTATGACTTGACAATACAAATAAAATTGAAATAGACGTGCTCACTATCGTATGCTGTTTGGAAATTTCCAACTTAGTCATTCATCGTTGATGCACGGTAGTCTCAGTTCCATTAAGCTCGTATTTCAATACAAACAAAAAACATATTCACCCTCACGCCTTTAGTTTAAAGTAGCAATGACGCACATCAAAGGCTCATTTGTGTTAACTCGCTCACCTACAAACAATGCGAATGTTCATATATTTGACATACCCAAACAATTCCCCTTGGCTACTTCTTTTAAACAAAAACGGCAGAGTTTTTCAATTGATAAAATCCATGACAAGCGATCAACTGTTTCGCATAACTCATACGGTTTGGATGGCAGCGACGATGAGAATGGCTTCGAGCAATTGCGAACTGATAAAAGTTCATTATTTCCGGATGCTTTATATAACTCCGATCTGGATGATGATGATGACAATGAAGTCATCAAAACAAATAAAGCTGCTTCTGCTGAAGCGTTATATTTATCTAGTTGTGAAAAGTATGGTGTCAAGCCTTCATCTATATTTATCAATATTATAAAAAATGGAGAAACATGTGTGAGTATTTGTCATGCAAGCATGAGTCCAATGGATATTAAAGCGATGGTATCCTCTTTGGAAGTATGCTCCTCAATCACAAAGTTAAATCTAAGTGGAAATGAACTTGGTTCGCTTGGAACGATTCATCTAGCTAAGTTAATCAAGCATAATAGATGTATCACTGAATTGAATTTATCTCACAATAATATTGGGCAGAAGGGTAGGCTATTCTTGAAAAATGATAAATAATCAATTGCTTTTCCTTTCAGGCTGTGAAGCGCTTTGTCAATCGCTTCTCTTCAATTGTATGGTAAGTACATTAATTCTTGATGGTAATCATTTAGATGATAAATGTGCTATATATCTGGCTGAATTACTCGCATCACACAAATACCTTATTCACGTTAGTTTATCGAAAAATCTTTTCGAGAGCACATCAGCCGCACAATTGTTTGCCGAAGCATTAAGTAATAATGAATCAGTAGAACACTTGGATGTTTCATTCAATCATTTTCAACAAAAAGCAACTGCAGTATTTATCACATTTCTATCAAAAAACTTCCGATTACGATCGCTCAATTTATCTTATTCAAGTTTTGGTCTAGGCGCATCGAAGGCATTTTCTTTAGCAATGCAAACTAAAATTTCACAATTGGAAAAGTTAGATTTATCATCGAATATCATCGACGATTCATGCGCTCCGTATTTAGCCAATGTATTGAGTACAAATGAATCTTTGAGAAAATTGAATCTAATGCAGAATCCTCTCAGTGTTGATGGATGTTACACTTTATTAAAACCGTTGCAAACGATGCCAACATCTCAACTGGAAACTATTGATATACGTGACATGTCTATCAAGAGTGAAGCATTTATAGTTTTAGCAAATGATTTAGAAGATCGACTCCCAAAATTACGTATTCAACGCGGAGAAAAACAACCATATCCGAGTCTTACGTAGTTTTATGAAAAGAAGTGATAATATATCTACGTTTATTGCATTTTCATATTCGACTACATAAAGATAAAGACATGGGTGTTGTGATAAACAGTAAAATGCAAGGTCACAATATAGCACAAGTTTCTTGATGTTTATTCATAGGAAAAATCGTTGTCGAGTAGAAAATATTGGATTCGGTGGATATGTTGCAAATCAAACAAAAAAAGCAAATATGTCGTTGAGACTTATGTGTGAACAGTAGCGAGGACGGCCAAGAATAGAAT